AAACTCCGGGATTCTTTAGGTTTTAGAATCCGTAAATGACTGCACTGAATTCCAGCATTTCGAATTATGTTTGACTCATGTTTTCGACTGAAATGACGCTTTCTTGAAACTTTTGAGTGCTCGCGCTTGAGCAAATTTGTGAAGCATATCATATTAATATGAATCAAGCAGAAGTTATGAGTCTTCCAGTGCAGTATATAAAGAGAAGTTAGTCAATTTCACGCAAGTTCTAATCATCTAAGAATATAGCGAATTACCATAAATTGCAAATTTAGTGTCGCATTTGGAACTCTTAGCTAACTTTTCGATTATGCGACGGAGGTTTGTACTCTAGTACATCGATTGTAGGAAATACTACACTTGAAAATTTCTCCTTGATAATTTGGATCTAGTGATCATTAGAAAAGCTGGAATGAAGAACTTATGAATGTATGATGGCAGACGAAAATATAATAGAAAAGTCTATGCCTTAATATCCTAGCTGTTAGACAAAGCGTTCGGTTGCTTATTCGGAGACTTTGGTATACCCCTTTCGAAATCGGTCCTTCTAATGTCGAGAATGTAATGGGTTCTCAAACTCCTGATGCTAAATTACTTCAATCAGATGACCGGTAATGTGCAATTGATCAACTAGGTCATCCAATATTTTGAATGAATTTTCTATTCAAAAATTCTGTGCAATTTTTCTCTGCTGAAAATAATTTTCAGAAGTTTTTTTTCAAAGGATGGCGTAACAGAAGTTTCCAAGCCGCCTCACCTGGGAAATGATACCTACTTTCTTCGTTTTTTCTCCGTTCCTCTCTCATTACCTCAGTATCTGAATCTACTTTTCACTGCTTGCACACCTCACAATGCTCACAATGAGACCGATAATTGGGTGGAGCAATGGGCGAGGCCTGACCTCTGAGGCACGGAGGTGCTAGAACCCTCCGGGTGCGAATGCTGGTGCGAGGAAAGGTGCTAGGAACTCCTGCACGCCCTCCACTCATCCCAGATTACTAATTATCTTAATAGCGAGCCCTAAAAGTAGACCAACCGCGTTGGTCCGGTCCCCTAATGTTGCCTACAAAAGGAGATAACGGATCGGATCCTCTTGGCGCTCCGCCCCTTTTTTGCACTCTGCCACTTACGGAGTGCCCCGAGACGTGTTCTGACATGATAAGCAACGTCGAGACGCATAGTTTGTGATGTGGCACTGTTGCACACGACGGGATTTTCTCTAGCATACGACGTGACCAGCGCCGCGGTACTCGTCCACCTCTGCTAAATTAGGGTTTCAGAAAGGATCCATTTTGAACTTTTCTGGTGATTTGAACCTCACATCGCAAATCAGCGCCATGGAAAGGCCGATATAACAATAAAAACATGGAGGACGAAATTTTGGGCTTGTCCGGATTCATCTTATATATAAAGCTGAATGTCTGTTTGTCTGTATGTCTGTCTGTACGTATGTTCCGAATAGAAAATTCCATTTCTGAACCGATCGGGACCAAACTTGGCACACATACACTTCGGGCCCCGGCGGGTGTCATAGGCTCAAATTTTGCAAAAAATCGTTAAAATTGACATCGATCGATAACGAAAAGTGGACTGTGACACCCGCCGAGGCCCGAAGTGTATGTGTGCCAAGTTTGGTCCGGATCGGTTAAGTAATGGAATTTTCTATTCGGAACATACGGCGGAGCCGGGTAAGCCAGCTAGTGAGTTTATAGAGCAGTCATGGGTGTAAAGGGGGGGGGTGTATGCGAGTATTTCCGTACAGGATCCACGTCTATTTTTCTTTGCAGCGAATTATCGTTTCTGTGATTTTGGTTCAAAAAAATCTTGTAGCTAAGTCTAAACTCTTTTCTTTGATGAAAAACTAACATCAGGGTCTAGTACCTTATCTAAACCGCTGAGGTTTTCTAACATCATCCAATCACGTTAAGTGCTAATATAGCTATCCTTTACAAGGATCATTTATGTTTCAAATCCTACACATTTTTTTACAGGGAATGCAGAGATAAGGTGAGCCTATAATCGGATACCTACCCTTTGACTCAACTGGAATGGCAGTTGGAAGGCGAGGCTTCGTGACCTAATTAAGGCCAGAGAATGACAGGGAGCACGCGCGCGAGAGAGGCCCAGACTGCGTTGCGGGCGGGAGCGGCCTCAATTATGTCACAAAGCGCCTTCCAGCCGACCATCATTTCCGTTGCGGAATCTTATATGTAAAGCTGAATGTCTGTTTGTATGTCTGTGTGCATGTCTGTATGTATGTGCGTATGTTCCGAATAGAAATTTTTATTTCTGACCCGATCGGGACCAAACTTGGCACACATACACTTTGGGGCCGGGCGGGTGTCATAGGCTACTTTCCGTCATCGATCGATATCGATTTTATTGATTTTTCAAAAAGTTCGAGCTACGGGCTGGGAGTTGGCACAAGGGGATAAGTGAGCACGCTGATTACGAATTGATTATTAACAGGGCCGGGCGGAGCCTGGTTTGCCAGCTAGTACTATATATAGCGATGGTCTCGCGGTCTCCGAGGAGGACGAAGGCGTCGAAACGTTAGGCAGTGATTGGATAATTAAAGACCATCTAAAAATCTGTGTGGCTGAGAACACTTGAAGAATATATACGATGCTCATGTCTAAACAAAGCGAAATATGGAACAATATTAGTTTTTAGATTTATCGATTACCTTTATCGACTATAACGATTTCTTGTAAAGTTCGAGCTACGGGGCTGGGAAATGACACAGGGGAGGGGGTACGTGGGCATGCTGATTACTGACACAACGGGAATAGGGAATTGGCGTGTGGAAGTGAGCACAGGGAAAAGTACAGCGATAGGGATAGAACCTCTGTTATGATGTTTTGATAGGGCCGGCGGAGGCGGGTAAGCCAGCTAATCATTTATAATTTTTTACTTTCAAACTCAGATCTTCCTCATATTCGCACCCGGAAGCGGATTTTGAGGCCATTTGAACCAAATTTTGATATTACAATTGGTACACAACAAATGGTTTGAAACATCAAGATTTTATAATTGGATACCAACTTTTGTATACTACATTTCAGGATGGGGCAAATTTGACGAACCATGTGAACAAACGGATGACCAAAATCCTAAAGCAGTTTTAATTCCATCCAGACTAATCTAGTGATACTGTACTTTCATGAAAAAAAATGCTTGCAATATTTCTAAAGGTCGTCAAAAAATTCCGATGTTATGTTAAGGACCGGGCATACTTAACGCAAAATCAGCCGCGACGCGATTTGGCAATTCATCAGGGCCGGTAGTGATCTACCATACCTGGTGGCATCATAGATACCGGCAAGTTGGCGCACATCGCGGAAAGATAGCAACTCCGCCGGCAGCTCGCGGACTGATCTCAGGCAGACCGCCGCAAAACATTCGCTTTGCGCGCGCTCGAACTTGCATGCAACGACTTCGAACGCCGGCGCACTAACCGATCGACCACACCTACGCTGCGTACATGGCGAAGCCTTTGATAAACGTATTCCTGGATTTGCTGGCCCGCCGCAAAACATATGCTCCACGCGCGTTCGAACTTCCATCTGTCGACTTTGAACACTAACACTCTAACATTGATAGAACCCAGGATAATAATAAGTTATTTAGGCATGCTACCAGTGCTCATTTACGCCGCTCTTGTTAGGAGGCATAGGAATATCCGTTACGGACGCCTCCGTCCCTTGCGCCTCTTCCACTCGAATCAAAGTCTGGTTCGGATGAAGTTTCGGATGAAGGAGGACCAACTTCGGCGGCTTTGCGACCTTCTGCTGCCTTTGATGCCTGGGGAGCGCATCGAGGAGCGTCGAGGTGGAAAACAATTGGAGCGTCGAGGTGGAAAACAAGGCTAGTTACATAAGCTCTGTTCTATTATCATGAAGCTAACGAAAATCAGATGAAGGGTATTAGAGACCATGATTGGAATAAGATAGAGAAAAATTCTGAAAAACACAATGAAAAGTTGTGCTACCTACCTTTCAGGGGTTCTAATATATTTGACACATTTCTCCGCTGACTTTCTTAGCTTTCAGTTCTAATTCAATAACATGGCGATAAGAGCAAAAAACCAAAAAGGCCCTCAGCCAGGGGACTTCTCGAGGCCCCCTGGCCCCACAAGGCCACCTGTATGATTAGTTCAGTTAAGAAGACGACAGAGACATTAAAACGACATAAACGGCAAAAACGGATAAAACGCTCTTAGAAAATAGGAATACTCTAGAAATGATCAATGAAGGCGGCATTCTAGCGGCGTCACCCGCAACTGTTCACAACGCAATTTCACAGACGCCGTCGGCAAAGGTGCCACCACCTCGACGTGGTAGGGGCACGTCGAGATGCCGGCAGCTCCCTCTCTCAAAAGAGCACGCTATTTCCCGTGCTCTCTGACCTGCCGGCAGGCCACTCTACGACCTCCCATCTCGCGGACTTCGACGAGCTGCTGGCAAGTTGCCGGCAACTGACATCGCGAAGTTGCCGGCAGCTCCTTCTGCGCTTCCAGATGTTTCCTACAGGGGGATTTCTGGAACCGGAGATTCCTCTGGAGTTTTCTACAGAGTCAAGGCGGCATCTTTATCGAGAAAATGTTTTGGAAATAGGCCTGGGACGGCTAAAATTTGGGATTTCACTTTCTGGCCACCTCACGGAAAAGGTGCCAGCGACCTGCCGCCAGGTCGGGGGGATTACTACCGGCCCAGAAGTCTTCAATTCTAACACTAGCAAATTGCACGTGCATAGTACAACCTATGTGGATTGATAAAATGTCCTATCTTCTGTTTTAAAATGTGCTTACAGCTATGAGTTATGGAGTTCAAATATTGCCAAATCGCGTCGCGACTGAAATCGCGTGAGGTATGCCCGGCCCTTTGTGCCCCACCTAACAATTTTTCTGTAGGTTAGAAAACATAGCAAGATTAAAAATAAACATGTTGACTGCTAAATGATATCACCACATTTTCCCAACGTTGTTCATTTGCTCTCCAGAAGCATTCCCAGCAGGTCAAGAAAGCAAAGCAATTCGACGTTTCACTACGAAAACGATGTCTTTCATGACCTTTTTGCTGATGGTATGTCAATTTTTGAATATTTGCAGGAAAAATGGAGAAATGCTTGGTGAGATCCCATTTTCACCATTTTCTCTTGCATTTTCAGTTCACCACGATGACGAAATTTGTTAGTGCTGGTGTAGTCGGAGCAGAATTTCAACTACAGTGTTCGATAGACCTTACACATCGATTCAAAGCTCATGTCTACCTGTTAGAAGTAAGAAAGTTTGAATACTGGCAATATTAAAAGCAAAAAATTACAGGAGAGTACATTGCCTGAGATTGTGCTCAGTGAAGCGATCAAGGAAGCGCGCTGGGATTCACCATCGCACCTAAGTTTTGAGCTATTCAGCGACGATTTGCAAGACGTGGAAGGCAAACATCTAGAGATAATGGTTCTTATAAAACACAATTGCGAAGAAAAGGTGTGTTGATGTTGATTTCTATTCATCATGGATTATCAGTTTCTTTAGCAAAAAGGAAAGCGAATTGCACTGAAAACTTTGGAGGTAGGAGCTTTTCCATTGGAACATGCGAGGCCACTTACGAAAAATATGGGAAAAATATCCCTACCATGAGTTTGTCAATCAATGCTCGTCACTGTTGCATTGAATAAAGCTGAGAAAATGTATTCATTTGCAGTCTTTTCCCTTGGATGGTCAATCTAAAGTCCTCATATTTGCATTCAATAAAGCCCAGAAGATCGATGATTACTTTGAGCTAATGGGCTAAGATTCTTGCATCAAACCAGTGCTTCACCTCTGCTTTGCAGAGGTTCGCACTGGCCATCATGAGCCGTGGTAAACTCACTCTCTTAGAGCTTGTCTTTCAAATCATTGTTCGATTGACTGCAACGTGAGAGCCGTAGTTAAAAACGAACCATACTCGCTGAACCTCAGATGATGTTTAGTACCGTAAATCATTCCTCACCGTAATTTCGTAACAGACAGACTTACAGACCGACAAATTAGCGGCTTATAATAAGTTACTAGTTGGCTTTCCCGGTCGAGCCCGGTCATTGGTCACCTGCACTGCAAGCCTCCCCCTCTTATATGTTATGGATGGCTTACCCTGGGACCCGCTTCGAAACCGCATCCTCGTGATCCTGAGGTGAAAATGAGCTTCACCGCCCTCCTTTACATGAGTACGGGAAAATGCTTGATTAAACATGATAAGCCCTCAATTCCTTAGAAAAACGTAAACAAATCAACAATTCGATAGAAGGACCCAACGAATCGCTGCAAAAAGTAGCCTAACATCTGCGCAGGCGTCGAAAACATATGTGTGCAAAATTTAAGCTAAATCGGTTGAGTGGCGCGCGTTTCTATAACGCACATACCCTCCAAACTGACAATTTTTGAGTTTTATATATATATATATATACAGGGTGTCCCAAAAAAATGTTTCGAACGTTTGATCGTTATTATCTCTCTTCCCAAGAAGTCTTTTGGCTTCGCTAGGTACCGTTCTGTAGAGCTGGCTTCAACTTAGATTTCCATTACAGAACGAATCAGCCATCTCTCTTCATTACTGTAAAATTACGGTAGAAACTTGAAACATATGGTGTCAATGTGGGAAAAGCTGCCGTTTCAAAATTTTTCAAAAAATTGTGAAAACTTGTGTAATAGGGTTTTTATAGACGCTGAGTTCAATACTCAACTATTTACAAGATTACGAAGCTTTCTAAACGGTGTAATCGCACTTTTTAGGAACATTGAAAAAAAGGCCGCTACCTCTCACCTGGCATAACTCTTCAATGAAGCATCATAATAAGTTGGAAACTTTACAGTTATAATCAGCAATTCTAATTAGCCTGGTGTAAAAGTTTTCAGGCTGTTTTGTTTCCTTTCTGAGGCAAAATATGGCCTTTCATGGTTCAAAACCCTCTTTGAAGTTTCTACCGTAACCCTACAGTAATGAAGAGAGATGGGTGATTCGTTCTATAATGGAAATCTAAGTTGAAGCCAGCTCTACAAAACGGTACCTGAAGCAAGGCAAAAGACTTCTTGGGAAGAGAGATATTAACGATCAAACGTTCGAAACATTTTTTCGGGACACCCTTTATATATAGATGATAAGGTGTTTTGTCCAAATCCATTTTCGACAAGCACAAGTGCCAGAAATCTGAAATGTGGTTGACTGAACGGAGAAAAGAATGAAGTTTAAAAGTAAGCTCTTTCCGGCAGATGAGGAATATCTTGTCAAGCAAGAGCTCAAGTCAAACAATGCTCTTGATCGTTGCCAAAAGTTCTATTTATCACCAATATTTTAGCTGTTCACGTAAGCCCGCCAAGTTTGATAGAACATGTTTTAACCATTGATTAACTGAAATGGGGGCTGGAAGGCGGGGCTTCGTGACCTAATTAAGGCTAGATAATGATCACAGAGTAGGCGCGCGAGAGAGACGCAGACTGCGTCGCGGGCGCGAGCGTCAGCCCCGTCTTCCAGCTGCCAAGCCAGTTGAAATAAAAGTTATTTGTACCGAGCTCCAATAATTAACTTACTTGGGAAGGATCCTTGCTCGAAGTGACCTTTCCAGGTGAGATGCATACAGTGTCAAAGAGCATTGAACGTTGAGTTCAAACCTGTTTTTTTTTATTTGCGGAGCGACTTTGAGTAAAGAATTACGAGCATTTTGTGAGTTAATAAACTGAAAGCTTGATTAGAGCAAAATCAATTGTGACAGCCTTACCAACTTACGGATGGTCAAGGGGAGCAAGGAAATGCAAGAAGGAAATTTTCGCTTTATAGAGAGGCTTAACAGTCACCATTATTCCACTTGAACTCACGAGAGACTTTTATAAATGATTTTTCCGAGTTACGCAGGTCAAATTTTGCTATGAAAGCTCCCATAGCTTCTTGCCTAGAGGCGCTCCGCAGATAAGATAGGCAGATTCAGAAACAGCGCTCAATTTCCTTCAAATTGGCATATACCTTTCTGGGAGGGCGACTTATCGTGAGACCAAGGATCCTTCCTTGGTTAGACATGTTTTTACTATCTTGTTTTTACACGTGATTTTTGAGTTCTCGAACACGATAAGTGCTTCCACGTAAATGAATGCAAGCACATTAAATTACATGACTTTTTAAATGTTAGGTAGGTGAAAGCGTTCAGAGAAGCCAGAATGTGCTTTGGATTGGCCTGGACTTTTCATAGTCTGATATACAGCTAATCTGGAAAACCTATGGTGTCTTGTCCGAATACACCAGTTGTAGGCCGGGGGGAGGGGGAGGGGGGGTATCGGCTGAGAATGTATCTGCAAATTTGCAAGCCGGATTTGGTACTTGGACACGACCTCTCAGATTGGCCCGCCTTTTCTTGATCCCGTGGCGCAAACAATGTAATAAGCCCATGAAGTCTTGTCCAGATTCATGGAGTTATAAAGCAGTCATGGGTGGTGGGGATGAGGGTGTATGCGAGTATTCCCGTACAGGATCTGTCTATCTTATCTTGCAGCGCAATTACCGTTCTTCTGTAATTTTGGTCAAAAAAGCTCCTGTAGCTAAGTCTAAAAAAACTTACATCAGGGTATACTATCTTATCCACGCTGAGGTTTTCTAACACCATTGAAGCACTGTTAGTCGCTAATATAGCTACCAGTGCGTCACCTCTACTTCGCAGAGGCTCGCGCTGGCTTTACTTTTTTACTTACTTATGCCTAAGTCGTTCCCACATAGTAATGACATTGAAAACTCCCCGCGCCGTGCAGGCTATCACGAATGATTTGTTAACAACTACTCATTCCTAGAGCTTTTTTGTGTGAGATCGGTATTTTCGCGTGGATGAAGCTTTTCCGAGACGAATAAATGCGAATTTGAATCGGTTTTGGACTTTTTATGGCCTGACAATAATCACCGTGGGCTACATCTCTGTGCAAAAATCTTCTTAAATGATAATATTGGCAAATTGAACATTCAAGCAACTTATTCTTTTTGGCGCCATTTTCGTAAAGTAATTAACTTAAGTTCAATTTTTTGGGTTAATGTCCATGGCGTGTACATTAGCTCACAAACATATCCATGACTCCGCAGAAAGTGTTGGTACCGACCCGATTTGGCTGGCCAGAAGCCAGGTGGATCCGTTTAACGCGCAATTTTTGGAGATTCACTCAGCGGATCCGCTCGTGCTTTTGCGTGGCGGACTTTCATGCTGCTATCGTGCGCCATGCGAAATTTGGGCTCAGGGCGTTGGCTGGAACACACTCCTCGAATCTCGTAACGGACAGACAGACAGACACACACACACACAAAAAAACGTAAACATCCTTAGCCCGTTATTATAAATTACTAGTTGGCTTTCCCGGTCCAACCCGGGCCATTTTCACCTGTACTGCCTCCCCCCCTCCTCTTACATGTTCTGGATGACTTACCCTGGGACATCCGCTTCGATACCGCATCCTCGTGTTCCTGAGGTAAAAATGAGCTTCACCGCCCTTCTTTACATGACGATGGGAAAATGCTTGATTAAACATGATAAGCCTTCAATTCCTTGAAAAAACGTAAAAAAATCAATAAATTGATAAAAGGACCCCGTGAATCGCCGCGAAAAGTAGCCTATCATCTGTGCAAGGGTCGAAAACATATGTGTGCAAAGTTTTAGCTGACGGTCGAGTGGCGCGCGTTTCTATAACGCACATACCCTCCAAACTGACAATTTTTGAGTTTTATAGTTTTATATATATACCAGTGCGTCACCTCTGCTTCGCAGAGGCTCGCACTGGCCATATTTTCTGTATCCTTACTCATTCCCGCCTAATAATGACATTAAAACTCACCGCGCTATGTAGGCTATCACGAATAATTCATAAACAACTACTCATTCGTAGAGGTTTTCCATGTGAGATCGGTATTTTCGCGTGGATAAAATCTTTCCCAGAAGAACAGATACAAATTCGAATAGGTTTTTGGAATTTTTATGGCTTGGTAGTCGCCGTAAGGACAATAAACATAGTGGGCTACATCTCTGTGCAAAAATATTCTCAAATGATCAGGTAAAATCATGAAAAATTGACCGTTTACATAGCGAATGCTTTTTGGCGCTGTTTCCGTAGAGTAGTAGACTTTTCGTTACTTTTTTAGGCTAACGTCCATGGCTTGCACATTAGCTTGTCAAATATATCCTTAACTCTGCAAAAAGTAGTACTACTGTCCCAAATTTGCTGGCCAGAAGTTAAGTGGATCCGTTTGACGCGCAATTTCCAATGGATCCGCTCAACGGATCCGCTCATGCTTTTGTATAGCGAACTCTCATGCTGATAGCGTGCGCTATGCAAGATTTGGGCTCAGGACGATGGCTGGAACACGCTCTACGAATTTCGTGACAGACAGAGATTCACACAGACAGACAGACAAACGTAAACAACCCTTAGCCCGTTATTATAAGTTACGATCAGGGTCAAGCAAGGGGTGTGGCACACGATCGCTGGTTATGACCCCCCCCCCTGACTGCTGTCTTAATAAGACCCCCCTAAACTATATACCTAAGATAGCATTACCAGAGTTGAGAAAGAGGTCAGGCACAAGTCTTTCGAAAACCTCCCCCCTCCTCCCATGAAAGCCCTCAAACGACCCCTTCTTTCTCCTCTTAACCTCTGGACCTCAAAGTGTGACATTCTGGAGGACACCTTCTTTTTCTAGAGAGTTTTCAGATTTCTGAGAGCTGTACGCCCGATTTTCTGTGACTGCACTTTACAATCACACGTAATTTGACGGCTGATTTTGATCTGAATGGGCATTGAAAGGGCCATAATTTACTTATGGGTGGGGCGTTCGGTTACAAATTTCCAATGTAGCAAGAAGAAACTATGTGCTCAATACTCATACCAGCAATGGAGCGCTTTCTGGATTTTGAAGGCAAGTTAAGGGGGTGCGGCACACCCCCTTAAAAGCTGCGGCAGCCGCAGCTTTTGAGGGGGTGTGCCGCACCCCATTAACTACATCAAAAAAACATTTTTAGCGGACAGTATTTTTATGCATCGATAGCCTAAACCTTGTAGATTCCATAGGACTGTTTGGAGCCTGATTTGTCTTCTTAGATCTAAGTAATATTTGGTGAAAGCACAGCGATCAATAGCGAAAAATGGGAAAAACGAGATTTTGGTTGGCTTCTAATTCCACAGTTTGCAGGTCTTCTAAAGCGGGATTCCTGAGGTGGACAAAGAAGGAGTAGTGCTTTGTCCAGAGTGCAAAAACGGATAGCTAATTTACCTTTGAAACAAAGTTAACCATGTTGGAATTTGACCATTTCATTTAGGTAGCCTAGTATCTTGAATCTTCAGAATTCGCTCACACTTTGTCTACAGGGGTTAATTGACATGCTAATTATGGATATGATACGAATATCATGTTATCACTATTATCAGATTACCCAACTACGACCCCCTCCCCTTTTGACTCCTCAATACGACACCCCAGGTGTGGCGTGCCGCACCCCACGCTTGTTATGATATAGATAGATGGTCCTTTACAGGGACCAATTTTTGGGCTTACGAATCTTACATATTTTCTTACAGGATCTAGAGATGAGGTGCGGTTATAATCGAATAAAGGCTGCTGCATGATGAAGGCGCAGAAGCGGCATCAGTTGAGCGGGCGCGAACGCGGCGCGCGCGTTGCAGCAGCCTTTACTTGCCTCAGCTAGGCGGCGAACAAAAAAAGAATTATTTGCAATTATTTGTAATTTTTTTACTTTTGAACGTCAGATTTTATCATATCCGCACCCGGAAGAGGATTCATGAGGCCACTCAAACCAAATTTTAATTTGACATTTGGCGCGGCAGCAACAAATGGTTCGTGTACCAAGATTCCATAAACGGACACAAACTTCATCTTCCACATTTCAAGGTGGGACAAATGAACCTTGTGGAAACTGATGAACAAAGTTCCAAAGCAATTTTCATTCCATTCAAATTACATTTTATTTTATTTTATTTGAATATGCACTGTAAGTGCGCCATAAAAACAGATAGACAAAACTCAACCGTATAAACATAACTGTCACACTTTCACTCCCTATACTTACACTTGTTGCAGAATGCAACCATTGAACCCGCAAATAAAGAGCTCGTACAAGAGGGGGGGGGTGGGTTCTTGATGCCAAATTTACCGGCTCGCGAATTCTGCAGGTGATTAGCATTGGGGAATGCCACTGCCCTAAGATTATATAAGCTTCGAAGGCGTCCAAGACTAGCCTGGTCCAGTTAGGTATCCACAAACCTAACAGTCTAGTTCCACATACATTTGCAATCTAACCTAAGCAGAAGTAGCGTTAAAATCAATGCATTCGAAATATCGGATAACAACACATGGAAGGCGTGGAAGGTGACAGATCAGTAAAAAACACCGAAAGTTAGTAAATAAAGCTTGAAAACTTGTAACACAAAGTCATTGTTAGTCTACAATAGTAGCAACGATCACATCCAACGGCTAGTGCGACTAGCGGGTAGAAGACCGGCAATCTGAAACGAAAAAAAGAAGGGACAAAAAATTTAAAGCTTTTTGATTCTTTGACCTGCACCAAGTCCATTTCGTTTATCTTGCGCTTGAAAACCGTTACGCTTTATTCTGATAAAGCAGAGGGAGGCAACATGTCGTACCACCCAGATAATCTCAAAAAAAAAAAAAGAGTGTTAAACATCAAAAGGAAAATTTTGATTCTTATTCGAGGATTGCGAATGTTGAACTCACATATCCTGCAATTTGGTCTAAAAATCCAGTATTTGCTTGCATTTAATAAGTTCTCTACGTATAAGACGGGAAGCAGAGATGAAAATAAATTCTCCTGTATTTTAAGCTTTTCATTGCCAAAAACCTGAGCCGATCTTCATACATCGGCATTTCAGTAAAAGCTTATGTTCTGCGACATCTCAAAAAGAGGATACGGGTAAATGTCTGCTGAAATTTCTCTAGTTTTGAGATATGCTTTTTCAAAAAAGGATTCCAAATTAAAACTGTATTCGAGGTTTGGTAGCACATACGTTTTATATAGTCGTTTCAGAATTACAGGGTTATCTGTATGAAAGATCGAAGTATAGCGAATAAGACAGAATAAGCTTTCTTTACAGCATAATCGATGTTATTGAAATTCAGCTCAGAGTCAACTAGAACGCTCAAATCCTAGGCAGTGAAACCCTTCTCTCTCCTTGCTAGAAGAATTCTATTGATTTTATGAACAGGCTGCTCATTGTCACCAAGATGCATAAAAAGACACTTCTCAGAATTCAATGGTACACCAGAGCAAGAAGCCCAGTCTGCATCACCTCTAACGACCTTCTCACCGCAAACTGAACTTACGTATTCTGTGGTACTACATTCACATGAAAAATTGCAATCTTTCTAAAGATCGTCAAAAAAGACCGATGTTATGTTATGCCCGACCTAACAATTTTTCTGTAGATTAGAAGGAACATAGCAAGATCAAAAATAAACATGTTGGTTGCTAAATGATATCAGCACATTCACATATCAGCACACACACGCTCAGGGCTGTTCATTTGTTCTCCAGAAGCATTCCCAGCAGGTCAAGCAAGCAAAGCAATTCGACGTTTACTACGAAAACGATGTCTTTCATGACCTTTTTGCTGATGGTATGTCATTTTTTTTTATTTGCAGATTGGAGAAATGCTTAGTGGGATCCCATTTTCACCATTTTCTCTTGCATTTTCAGTTCGCCACAATGACGAAATTTGCCAGCGCTAGTATAATCGGAGCAGAATTTCAACTGCAGTGTTCGATTGACCTTGCACATCGATTCAAAGCTCATGTCTACCTGTTAGAAGTAAGAAAGTTTGAATACTGACAATATTGGATGTAAAAAAGATTACAGGAGGGTACAATGCCTGAGATTGTGCTCAGTGAAGCGATGAAGGAAGCGCGCTGGGATTCACCATCGCACCTAAGTTTTGAGCTATTCAGCGACGATTTGCATGGCAGAAAAAGCGAATCTTTAGAGCCATACGTTCTTGTAGAGCACAACTGCGAAAAAAAGGTTTGTTGATGTTAATTTTTTATTCATCATAGATTATTAGTTTCTTTAGCAAAAAGGACTCCGAACTATATTGAGAGTTTTGGAGGTAGGAGACTTTCCAGCAGAACATGAGAGGCCATTTACAAGAAATTTGGGGAATATATCTCTACCATGAGTTTGTGAATCAGTGCTTGTCACTGTTGCATTGAATAAAGCTGAGAAAGCTGTATCCATTGACAGTCTTTTCCCTTCGATGGTCAATCTAAAGTCCTCAAATTTGCATTCAATAAAGCCCAGAAGATCGATGATTACTTTGTGCTAATCAGCCAAGACCCTTACATCAAATATGGCGTTTTGCCCAAATCCATTTTCGTCAAACACAAGAGCCAGAGCATCTAAAATGTGGTTTTCTGGACGGAAAAGAGTGAAATTTGAGAGTAAGCTTTTTCCAGCTGATAATGAGCATCTTGCCAAGCAAAAGCTAGAGTTAAACAATGCTCTTGATGCTGCAAAAAGCTCTGTATTTTTGGTTTTTCACATAAGCTCAGAGTTTGATAGCACATGCTTCACCCGCATTTCTTAGAGTTTTCCATGCAGTTCGTACGAATCGAATGTAAAATAATAATAATTGCACGTGTTGAAATGTATGGTCTTGGGATCCCATAAAAGGAATGCATTATCTATTAGATATAAGATCTGAAGCAATGGGAAAATTTTAGAAGGGTGGAAATTCCATCCTGGCTTGATACTTAAAGGCAGTGGCTCGGAAAAATTGCGAATTCGAGCTTTTCGCACCTATATGGCCTTCTGGATTATTGTTGAGCGGGCTGTAGCGGAGATTCCCGCCGAAAAGGGTGATTGGCTGCAGGAGACTGTAACATTACTCATTTTGGCGGCAATTGGATAATTGGCCCAGGCAGCCAATCGCGACTCGATGGGCGGGAGTCTCCGCTCCAACCCGCTCAGCAATCTCCGAAGCCGGAAAACGCCAGAAAAGCAATTTTTGACTATTCAAGCACAGTCTCGGATTCAACGGATCCAGAAGGTCATATAGGCGCAAAAAGATCGAATTCGCAATTTTCCTGAGCCACTGCGTGCCCTTCCTTCTTATATTTTTTAGTCCGATGCTTGAGAGAAATGAGAATCCTATTGTTGATTTCTTCTTCAAAATTCTTCGAGTTTCGAATTTCTGGAATTGGAATTGCAACAAAAAAGAACATAAGGCAAGTAGCACGAAAGTATATAGCCTTTGTTAGGATCGAGTATTCAGGATGTCTCGAAAATGTATCGAATCGAAGTATGATCGCCATTTCGTTCTCTCGTTTATGTAGCTCTCGCTTTTTAAGGACCATATGAAGAGCTGACTTCGATGAATCTACGAGATTACCAAGATAGTTTCAGCACAGCCATCAGTTTCCGTTGCAAATTCAAAACGTCTGAAAACTTGCGTTGAGATTTCGGAGCAGCTGATACTGATAAATAACTTGGTAGATGTGAGCAGTTTAGATGGGCATTATCGTTTTTTAGTAAGTGCGGGGATTTTTTGGTGCAATATTTGCTTTCACCATTTCCACCTTTTCACTGCTTTCATTGGCACCAAAAAATTCTTACCGTAATCCCACGGTAACGAAGAGGACTGGAAAATCCATTGCCTATTATGACTCTGTTTGGATGCAGCCCAACAATATATAAGGCGGCTCCGAATTTCTGTGCCGTTTTTTGACTATCCTCAAATCATTTAGAATAAAGATAGACAATACCTCAAGAATTATTCTATGCAGCATTTCTTCCTCTTTGCACCAATAATGTTTTTGTTCGGATTCCTTTGATGTTCTTTCGAATAATCACAACAATCTTCAACCCATGCATTTCACGTACTTTAAATTTAGCTATTGAAATTTTTGTTCTCAACTTTTCTGAACTCAATTGACTGTTGGATAGAACAAACAAAATGCTACAAAATCCAATTTTTTGGCATCGAAAGCTGGCTTTTCATTATTACAAAAATAAGTTTTCCAAAAGTCTTCATATTTGAGAATTCTTGAAATATACAAGCGCTTCAAACACTATGAAATCTTCGCAAACTGGAACTTCCAAAAATCTATTATGGCTAAACACTAATTCTAAAAGGCAAATGGGTTTCTACCGCCTCGAAAGATTGATTTTTGAAATTCTCGGGTGAAGCCCGGGGCGCATCACAAAACTGGAATTATGGCAATTTTTTCCTCGAGGCCTTTACTAATCAGAAACGAAAAACATCTATCAAGAAGAGGAGAAGAAGCTGCATTGAATGACATCCTAAATGTTTGCCGTCTGATGTTCTTTGAGGATTGGGATGCCCAAATATGGAAATTGATAGCATCGGAAAAATATTTTCAAAAAAATACGAGAAGCCAGCTATAGATGCCAAAAAATTGTATTACATTGCATTTGGTTTACTCTATCTTACCGCTATCGAAGTGTTTCCAAAAGTTCAAAACAGCAACTCAAAAAAAGCAAAATTCAGGGTAGGTAAAAACCTGGGTTGAAGGTTTTGTCGATTTGCGCTATCATAACGGATTTGCATCCTTTTAATTTTGTTTGAAAGAGTGAATCCTTTGCTTTCGAATACCTTCCTTTATAGCTTCTAATACACACTGACTGCGGAGATAAAAGTGAAAAAAAGAAGACCATGTAAACTTTATTTTAAGTTAGGTCGCCAGAAGTCTGAAACGCTGCGGAAAAAGCTGAAAACGTAAGTGTAGAGGTTTTTTGACCTACTCTTTGCAACAGTGAAAAGTTTGTGGTGTTTGGCCGTCCCTGTGAAAAGTTACGAATTTCGCTACAGAAAATGCCAAAATTAATTTAATTTGTCACCTTTCTCAAAAATCATAACTTTTTACAGACACATCCAAACAGGACAAACTTTCCACATTTGTATAGAGAAGGTCAAAAAACCTTAGTGCTTAACGTTTTCAGAATTTTGCGCAGCGGTACAGGTTTTTGGCGACCTAACTTTAAATGATAAAAGTTTATATGGTTTTCTTTTCATTTTTGTCTCTACAATCAGTGTATATTAGAAGCTAGTAGAGAAAGTGTTCGAAAGCGAAAGATTTACGCTTCCAAATAAAATCAAAAGGATGCAAATCCGTTGAGATAGCGCAAAGTTACAAATTTTCAAAAATGAAACGGCAGAACTTCCGGGACAACCTAATATCACAGGAATCCAAACAGAAACATTATATCTGGAGAGAGATAGAAATCATAGAAGATTTTTTAGAGTATTTGTCTACCTTTATTCTCTAAGGTTTGAGGATAGGTCTAAGTAATAGCATGAACTTTTGGACCCACCTAATAGCGCCCCTAAGTACTGGCGACAGTTTTTCAGGCAGGTAAATTGACCAGACGTTTTCCATACGTTTGAACACCCTGTCGAGTCGCACGGTCTCGAACCGAACATCAGAAATCCCCGAAGTTTAGTTAGAGACTCATTATAAAAAGATGGAGGACAAGTTCCGCATGACGACATTGTGACATGATCTTGACTCATCACCCATTTCGTAACTGAAAAATTTCCTATATGGGGCCATTCAAATGTCTTTTAGGACGTAAGAGATGTATCCTCTACTAATACCGATAGATTGTGCACTCCTGCCTCAGAGCACTCTTGCGTAAACATCGTCCGACAACTGGCTCAGACTTCTGGGTAATTATTGTGCACGACCTCTGTCACGTTTTTTATTCCTTTGTAACAATGAGGAACGATCGACTGCACAAGTGATCAACATCGATTGCTGTGGATTGTCACAAGAACATTTCACAAACATGAATCACGATCGCGTCAATCTGTTGATCGAATGACTTGGCAATGAATTTCTTCCTGTTTGTTTTGTGTGAAAAAAGGTATTAATCTGTGATATGTATTCAACAGCTATTTTCTTGAATTTTAATTAGTTTGACATGAGAGGAAATTTTCGCACGATAATCTCCTTTATAATCGTAGATTTGCATCATTGAAATTGTTTCCAGTAAACGCTTTTATTATTTTTCACCATTTTACGAGTCCAGCCATCCGTTAAATCGCGATTGCTTCATCAGTGATTTTTCCAGCTATGCTCCGTTGAACGTTTCTTTAGAGTCGTTTTCTTTTCTTTTATATGATTACAAGATTTTCAAGATCACTTTTTTTACTTGACTTTTGTTACAAGATTTTCTTGGTAATGGAGCTTTTGGGATGATGTTGCCCCCTCTCCAATCATTCTATAATAGATACCATGTGCCCACAAATTATGTTGACAAAAATTAGAGATTTTCTGTCAGAACGATGATCATGAAAATTCCATAAAATCTGGAGGATCTTTTCTTCTTTTTCATTTGGCTATAACTTTCTGTTCCTTCAATATCACTGATTCTAAAATGACCGATGCGAGCGGAGATATTGTTTGATTTGCAAGAAGGGAGGAGAAAACATTGTTTGTGTGGAAATTTTAAGATATCTTTTGTTGTAGCGTATGTATATATTCTGAGACCGAAGGACAAACGTTTTGCATGACATTCTTAACGTTTATCTAGCTTTCATCTACTACGGGCTTTTATACTTTTTTTGTCCTGGAAATCTGTAAACCTCGAGGAATAGTCCGCACCCTCTTTCATCAAACACTTTTAACAACGAAATTTGAATTATGCAGGGTGTCCCAAAAGTAAGTACACACTTTTTAATTCTTAATATCTTCTTTCCCCGCAAATCCTTTTGCGTAGCACCGGGCAATATTCTGTAAAGATGGCTTCAACTTTGATCTACAGCATTGCGAATCACCGATTCATTTGAATTACTGTAAGGTCATGGTAGGAAGCTTTTAGCATACATCGCGATTGTTGAAAGGCCCTTTGTAGAATTTTTTTCAAAACCTGGAAGGCTGTGAGCATGTTTTTGAACATGGTGGTTTCTTTAGGCTACTTTCACGAGTTTTTCAACATCCATATGGTTCAAACACTTCCGAAAAGAACTAAAAAATAACGTTGCGCGCTTCACCTGGCATAATTTATGAAAAAAGCGCATGGTAAAATGCAAAGTACATATTTATAGTCAGCGACTCAGTTTAGCCTCATGATGAAGTTCTTTTAATTTTTTTGTTAATTCGGAGGTTGGTGATATAATGTGCTCGAATGTCATCCTCCCATAGTCTTCTGGGTCTGTCCTCACCTGAGCATCGATATTTTCTGAAGCAAGACTAATTTTTCTTTCATCGCCTTTTCTCTGTCTAGTTTGAGGCACGTGTGCTGCTCCATAATTTTTGGAGTGACCATAAATTCTCCTTTCTTGATGACGTATGGGCGTCCTTAAAAAATGTGCATACTGTTTGATCGTTGATGACTCTGTTGTTTTGTTTTTTGCTGATCTATGGGTTTTTATACAGCTGGCTTCAATCTAGATTTGCAGTATGGATTGAATCGATCAGTTTTCGTTACTGTAGGGTTACGGTAGGAACTTCGGTATACCGACCCATTGTGCTATAGGCCGTTTGTGAAATTTTTCAAAAAATTTGGAAAATTATGTAAAAGGTTTTTTCATGCATCCGTGATTTCACTACACAATTATTTAACTTTTCAAGCTTTTTCTGGTATAACTGCAGTTCCGAGAACATTGGAAAAAAGTTGATACGACATAATTGAAAAGCTTATGAAAGCACTTGAGTAAAGTGCGGACTTCATATTCAAAATTAGCGACATCAACTGACCTTGTAAAATTATTAGCTTGTTTGGTTTTCTTTCTTAGAGAAAATATGGCTCTCAATGACCTCAAATCGTTCTCGAAGTTCCTCGTAATTCCTCAGTAACAAAGATCATATGACTCGCTTATACTGTGAATCTAAGCTAAACCCAGCTCTAGAGAGGTACCAAAAGGCCGGCAAAAGACATCAAGGCAAAGGAGTCCTTAGCAACAATCAAACAATGTGCACATTTTTTGGTACACCCTGCACAGTTCCCATTGCTATATTTTATTTGATGATCGTTACCAAATTTATAACTTATCCTTGCCTCATATTCTTGAATCGCATTTACCTGATTCAGTTCAAAATTAACCATAAGGTTTTTTTGCAGATTGTTGTGCAATCAAACCATCCGAGGATAGTTTGAAATTTATCAGTACTGGAGGACTAAATCATATCCACAATCCCTCTTCTATGTGGCCAGTCATTCTTCTTTTATTAGTGAGTTTACGCACATTGTCAAAGATGCAATTCGGTGTAATAGTTATGACTAATCACCTCGGACTATTTGACAATTTTTGTGAGGAGTTAACAATCTTGTGCTGCGCCATAAACGTGAGCTGATCTCGAAAGTTTTATCCGTTCCACACTGATCGATGGACTTATGTATACTTCAACTCATATTCTATTCTTCTTTCTGAAGCGAGATTTCTTCGTTGTTCTATGCAATGTTGGCGACATTATTGCCATGTTCTGAGCAGTCGGACAGTCATGCCCAGTTTCCCCTGATTCTGAAAACATTTCACATTAGCATTTGAAACGAGCAGTGGTATAAACTAAGTTGAGCAGGTTAAATTTTCTATTTTAGATTAGCTAGTTCAGGTTTCTGAAGTCTGTAATGATTGTTTTTGCAAGAAAAAATCCCAGGTTTTTGAGCGATTTGTATTCATGTTCAGTAGCTTCAGCAGCTATTTTCGCAGCATATTTCTAGCCAACCTACATTTTGTTGGACAACTTGAAACATCATTCTTTTCATCCTTGCATTCTGCCCGTCATTCGGGGTCTGCTGTTGTTGTGAGTTTTCTCTATTCTTGTCGGCCCAAGGCTTGCTGTTCAGTTATTTCAAGCTCTCTCATATCTGCTTTGATTCTGTCTAGCCAATGCATCTTAGGTCTTCCTCTTGGCCTCTTTCCTGGTACGCTCTCTGTCATGGCCAGTCTAGTTATGTGGTCTTTATCTCGCCTGCTTACGTGTCCATACTATCGTGGGCGCCGTTCTTGCATCTTCTTGACGACTGGGGCGACCTTCATCATGCTTCGTATTGTGTCGTTCGTGATGTGGTCCAGTGTAACTCCTACGATCCACCTAGCATCCGCGTCCCCGTTACGCCGATCTTCCTCTCTTCATTGCAAGTACAAAGCGCCGTCGGTCGGAGCATTGTTCGGTATAACAACGACCTCAGGTTTTGCCCAGGTACTTGAAGGAGGTGGTCTTCTTGATTTGCGTGTCTCTGGTCTGGATGCTCTTGGGTGTTTGAGCTCATATCTCCATGTACTCTGTCTCCGTTGCATTCAGCTTCAATCTGTGCAGCTGTAGCTGATCTTTACACTTCTGTGCTTCCATCACTTCTTGCCTGCTTCTCGCTAGTAGCACTACATCACCGCGTACATGAGTGCGCACGATTGTTGCTGTATGAAGTCTCTGACGATCGCATCCACCACGGTGATGAACAGTATTGGTGAGAGTACGGAACCTTGATTGCCAGTTTGTATCGTGAATTCTTCTGATGTTCCTGCAGCTGTCTGGACATGACTTCTGGCGTCTTGTAGATCATTTGTGTCCGCTGTAAATAGTTCTCTGGACCGTGTGCTTACGCAGTGCCCAAAATAATATTTCGTGCGGAACTTTGCGAACATTTTCTCGAGATCTAGGAAGTGGCGTGTAGTTCACACTTTCTTTTTCTGCTTGGTTCAATCATTTTGGCTGTATGGATAGCGTTCGTTGTACTACCTCCCTTCAAGAATACACATTGGTTGGGGGCTAGCTCTGTGGTGCTTCGACTCGCTATTCTTTCGAATATCGTCAAGTGTGGCTCATGGGACGTATAGGTCGGTATGTAGAGTAGTTTGCTATATCCCACTTGTTCTTCCACATTGGTATCGTTGCCGTTCTGTACCAATCGTTGGGCATTTTCTTGCATTCTACTATTGTTGAGAGGTCGTGTTAACCACTCAAATCCAGCTTAACCGAAGTCTAGAATTCGCTGAGGATGTCGTCTGGGCTTGTTGCTTTGCTGCTCATCGTCTTCGTCACAGCACTGCGGACTTCCTCCTCTGTGATATTCGTTACATGTACAGGTTCAGCTACTATGGTAGATGGCTTTTCGTAACTACGTTACGAAAAGATGTAAATGTAGAAGCCATTACTTCGAAGTGCGCTCGCCATCGTGCTATCTCCTCTGGTATTCTCAGGACTCTTCCGTAGACATCCTTGATAGCTAGTAGTAGTCCGTATCTTGCAAGGCTTTTGCTCTTCTTTTTGCGATTCAGTATATGACTCGCTCGCCTTCACGAGTGTGCAGCTCTTTGTAGATCTCTGTCATATAAGCTTCCTTCGCCTCTCTGACGCTCTTCTTTGCTGCACACTTTGCAATCAGATGTTCTTGATTTCTGCCATATCTCATACGCCATCTTCTTGCTCTTGATCACTTCTTTTACGGTACCATTCCACCAACATGTGTCCTTTTCGAGCTTCGGCTTTCCCGGTTTCATGCGTCCTAGTAGCCCACTGCCATCTGATGAATGTTCTTGAGATGCATCCATGAGCGGTCTGATTGTTCTTCTGGCAGAGCTGACTCCATTGCTGTTCGGCCTGAGGACTGTTCTTTAGCTTCCAACATTTGATGCGTTCTCTATGTCCGTCCTTGCTCTTCTTTTTCTACTAACGGGGATGTTCAGATCTAGAAGCAGTGGCCTGTGTTGAGGTACTCAATTCTGCCGGGAATGACTCTGCTGTCCCTCACGTACTTGAGCTAGCTTTGTCGCACCGTCCGAAAGTCTATCTGGTCTATCTGCGATCCGCGCTTTCCGCTGGCATGTATGACTAGATTACTGGTCTTCTTGATAAAGTATGTATTCGCTAGCCAAGTTATGAGACGCTGTGAACTCCAGAATACGCTTCCTTTCGTCGTTATGTGTGCCGTATCCGTGGTCTCCGTGACATTTCTGAAGGCCATCTCGTTGCTCTCCTACATGCCCTTTGAGATCTGCTCCAATCAGTAGTATCTTTTCTTGAGGTATCGCTCTAATATAGTCGTCGAACTTTTGCCAGAACCCTTCTTTCTCACGATCAGTTTCTCGCAATCTGCTTCTGGCGCATATGCTGTCACTAGGCCTCTTCTTTCCGATGTCTGCCCCTATGCTCATCACACAGTCGCTTATCCGATCTGCGCCAGTTATTCTATCTCTTAGTGCTTCAGAATTACTATCCCGATACCATTTCTATCACTGATTATTCTTTTGTACAGAAGCTTGAAGCCGTCGCCGATGTCTCTTGTTTTTCCCTCTCCATTTAATTTCTTGAAGGCAGGCTATGTCTACCTTTCTTCTTCTTAGGAGATCTGATTTGCTACCTTCCGATGTCGAGCTGTGAGAGATTCAACGTTAAATGTAGCTAGACGTTGCCTTTCTGAGAACTTGTCTCCGTGCCTAAAGTGAACAAGCTTCTTTAGCTGTTTCCGCTCACCCTGCTGAGACCGGTAGCCCTAACTTCAAAAGTGTATAGTGCAAGGAACTAAGCATTTGTAACGATAGTCGGAGAAATCCGCGTTTACGACAATACCGCTAGAACCTGCCTATACGCTTACCGAGAATCGGTACACGAAAATTTGAAAAGACCTGAGAGTGGAAAATACGATTCCTGGTATGAAACTATGCTAAACTAGGAAAAGTTCGTAAAGATTTCAAAGCACTTCTGCAAATATCTTTCAAAGCCTATGCAGCATTTGTGCTGCCTTGCAATTGCACCCCTTGCGCAAAGTATTGTCTTACCAAAAATTTTCATGCAAAGTATTGTTCTACCGAAAATTTTCAAACTGTTTAGATTGCATCTATACCCATCACCGCTGATGCCTCTGATGTTGGCGCTACAATGAAATTATCCTGTATGTATGCATATGCAAGTAAATTGAGGCCAAACCATCGATTTTGGGCTAATGTTCGATTGATGAAGGTTTGTTAATACAGAGGAAAGATAAAGAACCTATCCAAGTCACACTGGCAACTAAGAAGTGCGCTTAATCAAGAGCAGCTAAAATGATGATTTCAAATTAGCTACCTTTCTCTGCAGAACATGCACAAGGAGCGCTTAATATAAGAACTTTGAAGTCTTACAGTCTGAGTACTCGTCGTCCAGATGGTAAAAAGGTAGTGCCTCATCGAAACTTTAATCTCGAGTTTTTTTTAACTTCTCTCGACTCAGATAAGACTCAAGCCTGCACAAAAATCTTGTAGCAAACAGGAAGCATTGTAGAGAAGTTATTCCCCTTTTCTAACGAGGTTCATGAAGTACCGGTCCCCTAACGAGATTCAGAAGATCAAAACTAAGTTTGGTGAGACACTGCAAGTATACTGACTACTGGGGAGACATACGCAATAGAAACGCGGCAATTTATTTCGCATCCTAATTTCTCCAGTGCATGTTGTTAGTACTTGATTGTAGTATTTTGAGCATTTTTATCCCGTCCAAAGAGTCGATCTGCACTTAAGAGCAGAGTTGAAACTGGTGTTATGAGCCTTTTCACAACTGCAAGTGTGGCTTGGCACCTTCTTTGGTCGAAAAACTTCAGTATATTTGAAAATTTCAGAAAAATGGTACAAGTGATGCTCTGCTTGACGAGCAGAAACAAATCAACACTGATCGTAAACCGTATATGCACTTTAAAATGTCGGCCAACGGCATCAAAGATCCAAAAGATCTTTACATTTACATAAAGCACAACTGTGTTAGAAACGTGAGTTTTCTAGTAGTATATTACAATAAAATATGCACAGATTTCAGCACACAACAATGTACCGAGTGAAGAGCGTCGATGTCAAAATGGATAACAAAAATCCGATGGTTAAAAATATAGGTACAATATTTTTGCCCTGATAGAATTTACGAATAACTCCTTTTGCAAGCTTGATGTGTTTTTCCAAAGTTATATTTTGCAGTTGCAAACTAATATGTGCTTTATACTATGAAAATTGATAAAAAATTGACTAGTTCGTGTTTTTTGTTTAATGTCTACGTCATTTATTGACAAACAATAGTACAACAGATGAAATATGTGGTTGCCGTGTCGTCTTCGCAGGCAGCAACCAGGATGTTTCTAACTTTTATTCAGCGAAGCCAATGTTTTGGTTTTATCTCTCCTAGAAAGTCGAGTGTATTATGTCAGGCATGCTCGTACATGCCCTCGTCAGAGGCTAAGATATCGTATATAATAGTACGCCAAAGCGGGATCACGGACAGCCAGTACTCACCTTAAATGACAGCAAATTCGCCATTGTCTTTCAGGCTAAAAGCTTTTGAATAATTTGTTTTGTTGGCGTTTGTAAACTCACGGTGCTGAGATATATTTGCAAGTCGATTCTCTTTTAGGAATGATCATATGAGCTGCCATTACCTAGTTTTGCAAATGTTTCTTCAAAAAAAGCTAAAATTAGCGCATTTTTGGTGCTTAAAGGCACCGTCCACCCAAAATCTCGAATTCAATGTTTTTGTCGCCTTCAGGCCTTCTGAAAGCCCTGATTCTGAATATGGAGTCGAAAATCCGCGAAACCCCCAAAATCCATGTTTCGAAAACCCTCTGCAACGAAGGCGAGATAAAGCATGCAAGACCATGGTCGCCCCGCCTACTTTGCTACTTCCGGAGCGCATTTCTCGCTTCAGAAGCAGTCTTTTGCGGCGAAGCTTGGGGGTTTGCCTAGTGTGGGGGCCCACACTAGTATGCCATCATAATCTCGCCAATCTCCTATTTGGATGGACGGTGCCTTTAAAGGCAGTGACCAGGTCAAATCTAACCCCCTCCGCTTAGTGTCAATCCTGAACGTTGGTCCCAAGAGAGGGGCATCTGCCTTGATCCGGCTTTCTAGTGGAGATAATGGGCCTGGAACTGCCAAAATGCTATCGTCCCTCCTAGATCCTATCAAGCTCCGGCCACCCATGTAAAACATCAAGATTTCAAAAATGAACCGAAAGGACGAGGCTTTCCACCACCAACGAGCTCGTGCCATATGATTTCTCATAGATCCTGTTATGAGGTCAGGTTATTTGGCCGTAGGACGAGGTATAATTAAGTTTTCCACTTCGTTGGTCAATGCGCATCTCCTGATTATTGGTTGACCATAGCGGCCGCCCTAGCGCCAGTATGGGAGCCGATGGTGGATCCTGTCTAAGATCGAACCCGAAAAACCAACAAGCTGAATCCTTGTTAGGTAGAAAGTCTGATTAAAGGTTTGCAAGGGCATTCCCTCGCCGACACTGTAAGACGAACTCATCACCAGATGAATGTTGCGCAGAGTTTTCGTAAGTGAAAAATGTCTCAAGTGGACACCTCCACTGCTGGTGTGGGTAAAATTTGTTTTTAAGAATGGAGATCATACACCACATGTCATTCTCAAAGCTCTATTGCTAAGACGTCGCCCAACGGTGTTTGTTCGACAACTGACTCCAAACCCTGGCTAGTTGTTGTGCACGACTTCTGTCACGTTGTTTCTTTGTACCTCCCAGACGATCGAACAACTGATCAACATAGATTATGAGATTGTTAGCGACATAGATTGTGAGATTAGAAGTGATCAACATAGGATGCATCAACCTGAAGCACAATCGCTCAATCAGTTATCGAATGACTCGGCAATGAATTTCCTCATGCTTGTTTTCTGAGAAAAATACGTATTCTTTTCCGATATGTGTATCAGTTTTTTGTTCTTTAATTTGCAGTTGATTGACCGTCGATATGTATCTTAGTAATTCTGCCCTCATCAACATTGTTGTCTCTTTAACACTTCATCAACTCATATGCGGTTTATTTGTTCATTTGTGATTTTTCAATCATGCTTCAATTAAATGCAGTTTCTTTGGGTTCCGTTTCTGTAGATATTATGAGAACTTTTCATAATTTTCGAGCATTCAGAATTCCATTATATAACCATCACAACATAAGAAATATTGAATTGACAAGCAGTTTTAGTCGCGACGCCATCACTGACAAATTTCTGTATGAATATATGGTATAATTCGAAAGAGTACAAGAGAATTCGGTGGTCAACTCTGTTGAGCAGAAATCATTTTTGCATGAAGATTTAGTGCAGCAAGTCGGAAAACCTATATCTTCGAGATTTCGAAAGTAATGCCACAAAAAACGAACTGAATTTGGATGACTGTAGCACTATAGCTAAACTATAGATGTATGATCAAACTCAAGCGATGTGGACTGCACAGAAATTGGCTTTCGCGCACAAGATCACAAAATTTCGCAGACTGCAGGTCATAGGTCTCGGTCATTACCTTTATTACAGTTCCGCATATAGCCAAAGCTTACATATCCAACAGTAGCGGTCTCAGAATTTCCATCGGAAGGGGAGAGGGAAGGGGCAAAATCATGTGATGCTTCCTAAAATTTTTGCGAGCTTATGAGCTCGAGAATTTGATTTGAATTTTTGAAAGATTATAAACTGATTCTTATCGTTTACAAGTGTAGATAGGTTAATTGCACATTTTCATAACCCACGTAAGTAAACTTTGATTTCGGGATTTATTCTTTGCTGAACCCTCAAACTCTCTCCCCCCCCCTCCCTCCCACCATGTCCGTCACTGGAATGCAATCATCGAGTCACTTGCACTACAGGCTCACTAGAGGCTGAAGACAAAACTTGGAATTATACCTTTCATTATTCAATAACGAGAGATTCAATAATCAATATGTGAGAGTGCAGGTTCGAAACTACCCCTCCCCACATAGAAATCGTGGCACCTGAAAGCTTCAAGTTGAAAAAGTTTCGTATCTATAGGTCAAAGCCAAATCATATACTAGAACAGGAGGTGTTCCAAAAACATATGCGCATTGTTTGATTGTCCGTTTTTCTAGGCCTATATTTCAAACAACTTTTTTTCCATCAAACTTTCTTTTTCGATATAGAATTTGCATATCATTGGAAAGCCCTCTTTATGTACTTTCTAACGATGGTGGAAATAGACTGCTATCCTCATCTGTGAGAATTTCACCAGCACCTCGCATAACTGCACTCAAAATTGAAATTTCGATGCTTGAGTTTCCGTGGCCACAATTCAGGCGCAAATGAACGAATTCTTCTGAAAACATAGCATTTCTATTGGATGAAGTTTGTTTACCTACAGCTGCTTATGTGGATTTTTGGAGATAGCTGGACTGAGAAATGGACGCTTCGAAAGAGATACTCACTGCTGGCATTCTATGGATCAGAAATTTTTTATAATTAAGGCAATCGCCAAAGCTTTGCCCATTTCTGTAAACTTGAGATTAGCACACCTCAACTACAATATTTGAAGAGAAACTCAGCTATTGACTGCGCGAAGAATTTCAAATTTTCCCAATTTGACACTCATAAGCCTACAACAAGTAGGCTTAGAAAAGTAAACTTTTTTAAATTTTTGTCTTTTCTTTTCGCAGAACTCTTTCGTCGGAGTCTTTTCTATACCCTCATAAACTCTTGGTCTGCTGCTAAAATAAGCTGATTGCCAGCCATATGAACGAAACTTGAAGGGAATTGTAAGCTCTTGAAGAAGAGGTTTTTGAGAGAAAAACTTTAAGCTTTTTGACGCGTGGTTTTCTTCCCAACTGCGATATCAGTATGAGCAGGCGTGCGCTGAATTACGAAAGGTTTGCTGTTTTTGAAGGTCTTGACTGCATTCAAAAATATGAAGAATGAACGAAGTTATAGCCCTCCAAAGTGAAAACTTGCAAAACGGACATTATTTTTGCAACAACCTAATAATAACTCTCTTGCTTCAATGTTTTTTGCCAATCTTTTGATACCATTCTGTAGAGAGGCTTCAACTCAGATTCACAGTATGGAGCGATTTTCCGATCTCTCTTCACTGCTGTGGGATTACAGTAAAAACTTCGACATGGGTTCTAGGCCACTGGGGGCCATATTTTGCCGCAGAAATAAAGCAAATCCAAAGACTTTTGTACTAGGCTAATCAAAGTCTTTGATTTTAAATAAGAATTTGCACTTTATTGTGATGCTTCTTTCCTAAGTTATTCCAAGTAAACCGTAACGATGTTTTTCCGACACTGGCCTGTGGTAAAGCTACTTCAGTTCAGGTGAACTGAACTGAGGCCCTCATCCAAGATTCGGTAAGGTAAACTGCCTATTACCAGCTTCCCATGTAGTAAGAATGCAAAATGAAATTTCAGCTGACCTCCGTCTACCTGACGAGGTAGTCTACCTTACTTCAGTCAGTCCACATTCAGTTAGACTACCAATTGATTTGAATAGTGTCAGTAATGATACGCAGAGAAGCTTTTCGTAAGTTACTCCTGAGTAACTTACGATACACGTCAGTTTAACATGTCGGTGAGGAGCAGTGATGCTGACGAGACTTAACAAGATCTAACAAGTGCGGCCACGTCCCCGCCGCTAGTGCCACTGACGTACATGTGATGTTTGGCAAAATCGTCTTGACTCGTATACTTGTATGGACGTGGCGCTCTCAATCTTATCATCGTGGGTGGTTGGCAATATCAATCAATGGCTCGACTGAAGGCAAGCTGACTCGTCGAAGCCTCAACTGAAATTTTATTCAGCTGAGATCGAATGAAGCAGCTTTACTACGGGCCATTGTCAGAAATGTGATTACAACGTCAAAAAAGCAGAAAACACTCGCATATACTCGCACTCTCACTGCATTGAAATCAGCATGCGTGAAAGTCCTGATGCACGTTTTTGTAGACTTTATGGAAGAATATTGCCAGACTTTCGGTTTATTTTACAATAATTCTAGATGCTGGAAACTCTTACGGTATTCCTACACTAACGAAGAGAGATCGGCGATTTACTCCATACTGTAAATCTAAGTTGAAGCAATCTCTACAAAATGGTACCAGAATATCGGCAAAAGACATTAAAGCAGGAGAATTAGAAAGTGGAAAACAGTGCGCACATTTTTTGGGACACCCTGTATACTATCTCTGCTTTTATTTTCATAATCGGGATTGAACTTTTTTCCATTCTTTTTTCTGTATGTTGCTATAAGTCAAACGTATTGCTCTCTGAATTTTGAAGTGCACCATTCAAAATCTCTTTTTCCCCTTTCTTGATGAAATGAACGATGCTGGGCTTCATTACTGAAATCATCACTTATTTTTTTACCTGACATTCCTGATATGTATACCACATGCGCCTCAAATTGAATTTAATCACAGGTTTATTGCAGGCTGCTGCGCGATCAAACATTGCGACGATAATCTGTAAAGTGGCCAGTTCCGCAGGACTAAATCATATTTTCAATCTCATCTTCAATGTGGCTAATTATCCTTCTTTTTTTGGTGAGTTCTTCACTTCAAATTATCAGAAACCGGTGTCAACATCCTCTTCTGCTACTACATAGTCTCTTTCATTTTTATGAACACGTGAGTTGAATAGTGCCAAGGATGCACGACTAGGATAAGTGATGTGATAGTGAAAATGGTCAATTCAAAATTCTAAGCTGGATTAAGTGTAAATTATTTCCGCTTTTTCTTAATGTCGGTCTTTCAAAGATATTGCAGATATGGAGCTATGCATCCCCATTCCCATACCCTTTACGCAACCCTTGTGTTGGTTTATCACTGTAGCAAGAATCAAGCTGACAGATATGTACAAGCGTAGCAGTGTAGTTTTCTTCTTACTCCTCAATGGTACGTTTGTTAACCATGATCTTTCAAGAAGGCTGATCCGCTCCAGATTTCTCAGATTTTTGTCGTTGTCGTTGCATGTTGCAAGCAAAACAAACTTCAAACTTCATAATATTCAAGTGCTGCTAAGGCTCTAAGTCAGTCACTGTTGAAAGAGCTGTTTTTGTTAGTGTTGCGCAAGTTGTGATTGTTGAGACTGGCCCTCTTTTAGAGGGTGGCCCGTAAGTATGGGCGTTACAACGTATAATATATCTTTCTCCTGATATATTCTATCGAAGGCCAATATGCCTGTAGTTCCTCTTAAAAAGCGCTGCGGTGCGACGACAGCACCGTGTTTACAGTACCGTACTTTGTTTTGGAGGAGAGAATCTATGCTGTTACGGCATTATGTTATTTTTTGGATTATGCTCTAAACCTCATACCTTCAAAATTTGATTCGTAAGCGGATTATCACCCCATTCGCAACAGGTACATTTTTCACATAGCCTTTTGACGCATTAGCTTCAATAAGTTGGTGAAGTCTGCGTGCATATGCAGAATCCCAGCTTTGCTGGGATTAACATTAGGACTCCTGTGTTTTTGACATGCAAAAATAACCTTGCAAAACCTCGTCTTTCCACCCGGTATTCCAATAACACTCCATACCTTTCCTGTACAAGAATTAAATTGAACATGTGCACTTGACTATTTATCTAAACAAGGCAGGGCAGTAAACCACTTATCCTGCAAATGACTCGCAAACTTTGTGAAAAAGTCGTCCAAGACTTGAAAAGTAATGCATGCGAAATCGCCTCTGTTGTAGTTGTTTAGAATAATCTTTGAAAATTGGACCTCAAGTCAATTTTATAGAAAGAAGCTTCAAAGAGTCTTCTGTTGTCCATAAACTCACAAAAAATATTCTTCGGAAGTTTCCAGATCTTCTCAGTCAAAATTTCATTTTTAAGGGTCCGCAGAAATACTGCGGATAGCAAAAAACGAAATTAATTTGGGTTGTAAAGTTAACAGATGAACCTCGAGGGTGTAATCATACGGCGCCCGCTTGCCATAGGGTAGGCGGATCAGTGAAGACAATTGTTCTGTCGATGGACCTATATTTTAGTGCATTGTTTTTTTTATTCTCGCTATCAAGCACCGCAGCATGTATATAGGCGCACCTTAATCTACTGCTAGCGAGCAAGCTATAGTAACCATTTTCTCAGTGTTCTCATTCTTTTTCCGGTAAAAGCCTAAAATTTGACAGGTGTGTAGCCAACTCTTTGTTGGGCAACTTTAAAGTGTTTGTGGTAAGTTGAGGGGATTTTTGAGCATTTATTAGCAGCGGTGTCAAAGGAAAAAAGACTGAGAAATGGCGATTCCTACATGAAAGCATGGATTCATGGAACCGATTAAATGAAAACAAGAGAAATAAAAAGTGCCAGGTCACATAGATTTCGTAAAGGTTTTGAGGCATTGCAAAAATCTGGCGATGCTCAGGATTCCTGATATGTTACTTTGCACTTGCACGGAATAAACGCAAACTGTTCAACAACTAAAATTTTTTATATAGAATTGTTTAGATTGCTACCATACCTCCCACTGCTGATGCTTCTGATGTTGGTGCCACGATGAAATTATCTTGTATGTATGCATATGCCAGCAAATTGCCTGAAAATCATCGATTCTGGGCCAAAGTTCGATTGATGAAGGTTTGTCATTACTGAGGAAAGATACGAGGAACAAACACCATCTCGCACTGGCGAATTGGGAAGAGTTGTCGTTTTAAGAGCTTGCATTGATGATTTAAATCTGCTTTCTTTCTTGGCTAATTTGTCATGAGGTTTGAAACTATGAACTTCGAAGTTTTGCGACTGAGTGCGCGTCATCAACATGGTACTATCATAGGAGGGTCTCACTAAATTTGGATCTCGAGATTTTTCGAAATACAAGTCTTTCCAGCTTTGATCGGGTCCAAATCTTCATAATCTCAAAACCCCGTTCGATGGCTCTTGGAAGCATTGCGGACACGTTGTTTCCCTTCCTTAACTTCGGCAGTAGGGTCGAGCATGCCAGGATGGAGGGCGTCGCTGTATTTTGCCGATAGGCTCCACCATGTGCGGACAGCTGGCGCGAATCTATAATGCCCTAAATATCTACAGCTGCGTGTCTGTAGCAGAGGTCCACGTGGGACCACTTCTTTCGACGACATATAGTCCTCTACACCGTCGCCTGGAAGGACTTGTTCAAAATATAGCGGGAAACCCATAAATTGTCCAGAGCGAGCCAAATCGCACTTCGCGAATTACTGTGCGAGTACTTTTCTAGGTAAAGACAATGCCGTATCAAATGGGACCAGGGAGGTGGCCTACAAAATATTCGGTCCTTTAGAGAAATCATAAGCATACAGTCTATCTCAGATCTAAGAGACATTGTTCAAAACTATGCTGATATACTGACTGCTAACAATGATAACGAGCATAAAAAATGAAAACGAATGAAAATGAATGAGACTCGGCTAGGTGTTTTTGCATCGCATTTGAACTTTTATCAATATCTACCTTGGTGAGTCGAATTTTATCTTTATCTTTACACTCAAGGTGTACCATTTGAAGTATGAAAACTGTTAGCATGGGGCCAGTCGTCCTAGACGTTCAAAGAACAACAAAGAAAGCTCGTACTTCGATGAGTTAAGGACAGAGGACAGACCTGAATTTACGGTCATAAGCATTCTTCCAACTGTCAGTGCGAAATGGTATTTTCATTTGTTATTGTTAGTTTAATCGAAATTTTAGAAAAATGGCACAAGTGGTGGTGCTACGCTTGACGAGCAGAAACAAATCAACTCTGATCGTGAACCGCATATGCAGTTTACAATGTCAGCAAACGATATAAAAGACCCAAAAGATCTCTACATTGACATAAAGCACAACTGTGTCCAAAACGTGAGTTTGCTAGTAGTAAAGCACAATAGAATATGCTCAGATTTCAGCACACAACGACGTATCAAGTTAAAGACGTTGATGTCGAGATGGACAGCAATAATCCCACAGTCAAGGATGTGGGTACAATATTTTTGCCTTGATAAGAAAAATTACGATTAGGTAGATACTTTATTAGGCTTGATATGTTTTCAGAAATTCTCTTTTGAAGTAAAAAAAAACTTTTATGACTGAACTTTTGTGACTTATAATATGAAAATTGATAAAGATCAACTACTTCGTATTTTGCTTCAAGTCTGTCTCGTTTACTGACAATTGATAGTACAATGAATAAATATAGATACAAAATACAAGATTCGCGAAGTCAGTCGCACTTCTTAGCTCGAAACAGACTTTCCACATGGCATCTATATCACTTTGAAGAGCATTGATTGATGATTCCAAATCTGTCTTCCTTATCTGCCAAGCGCCTCTGGAGGCCGAGTTAGCGTTTTTAGGTTGAAAAATTGAATGCGCGACCGAAACAAGACCTTCCAGAATTGCTCAAGTAGTCAGCATCAATTATCACATTACTTCAATAAATGGATGCCTTCTGTCCAATACCCTCATACTCAATACTGCCCTATTTGAGCGCAAAAAAGATCATAGCCTTTGTTTTTACCTATATTCTGCTTCATTTTCCACTCCTAAAAGCACTTACAACTTGGGGCCAAGAGCGCTTGGCAGAAAATAGAAACAGATTTGAAATCAGCCTTCAATGCTTTCAAAGTTCTATGGGACTTCTTCGAGAAGGCCACTCCTAGTGAAAGGCTACCTTATAAAAGTCAAGCATTTGTGATTATTTATTTATTTGATGCATGCATAGTGCGCCACAACAGAACGAGAAATGAGGACCTGGCACAGATGAATACCAAGCTGCCACTAAAATATCAGGTAAAACATTATTATCAGAAAGGATAAACAAGCGAAAAAAGCATCTTGGTGGATATACAGCACACCACAGTATGTAGGCGTCAGTAAATAGCAAAGTAAGAAAAAGAAGTTGGTTAGTGAAAATAATCTCATAAATTTTGAGACAGGCCCAATGCGACGACAGGGAGACGCAGATCAAGGGAAGGAAGTCTCCTGCAAAGAGAGAGCAAAGCAAAGATATATCAGCACTAACAAGCCATTCACTAGCGCGAGGTCGACACTCCTAAGGGTACGCTTGAACGAACACACTTTGAGCAGAAAGCACTCTACAAAAGAAACTATCGAAGAGCCGCAAAAAGCGCTTTCCATGAATGCAGGGTAATAATGTTGCACATGTCAGTTCTAACAGTAGGTCTAAATACCAAAACGTACTTACTCGCATTGAGCCTAAGTTCCTTACGCAGACGTCGAAATGCAAAAACGAGTTTAAAAGCAGCGTCCCGTCACGTGGAAAGTAATTTTGGGGTCCTAACTAAGCGACTGCCCAAGCGGCATCGCAGGAAATCACTAACGGCTGAGATATGCGCCTCCAAAGTGGACCCCATAATCGTGTTCGCATGGATTCATGGCAGTTTCGCGCGAGGACCCCGCTTTGTGCCATGCATCCATGCGAAATACGATCCCAGGATCCAGTTTCGGGAATATTTCAACCGTTAGAGCACTATCTGAGCTGCCAGTTGGGCAGTGGCTTAGTTAGGGCCCGAAGATTACTATGCACGTGAGATCCCCACGTGTCCAAACTTGCCTGGACGCTGCCTTTAAGATAAATACGTCTGTACTCTAAAGTCTTGCTCAATATAAAAGTTTGAGCTTGGAGGGTTATGAGTTCCAACATAGAGGTTTGAGTTTAGAGGGTTATACGAGGCATATTCCGGAACATGACATACGCATACAGAACTTGCTTTCTGGCTAATCTGTGAATTAAGAAATGTCAATGTTGAACCAATAAGACAAAGGCATACTTTGTGAAAATTTTGGGTCGAGGGAGGCTGAAAGGCCGCACCTTCTCCCCTACCCCCCCCCTCCCCTCCTCCTCCGACAATGGGTCGCCAATTTTCGAAGTAGACAGTATGAGTTACGAAATGGTGCAAAGACTTTTCCACGTAATCTTTTCTTTGAACCTGGGCATGTATTAGATTTGAGTAGAGATAACTCGAGTTTACAGCACGAAAAATTTGTTAGAGGCGCATTGATCTACGCCGGAAATCCGGGCATGAACAACAAAAAATGAGAGTGACGATAACGACTGATCTCGTGCTTCTTATGACATTAGGTGACCTTAAACCGCACAGTATATATAGTCCTTGAGTCACTGAGCAGCCTTAAGGGTGTCCGTGTCCGTCACATCCTTGCGGACTACTGACTCCAAGGTAATTTAGAGGTTGGTGAATCCATTTTATTGTTTCTCGGTGCGTTGCGCCCAGATGAGGTTCAAATGACGGAAGTCTCATGGGGTGTTTGGTCGTGCAGGCTAACGGTTGTTTCATACTGCACTGACCACACCAGATTCAGCTGACCGCACTGACAGCAGCAGACTGGAGCAGACTGCCAGACTGCGGCTGACCGCACTGACCGCAACACTGCACAGATCGCTACATCCTTTCGTAGAAGAGAGAACAATTGTTACTCGAAACATCATGATTTACGCCTGCTATTTTCATAGGGTCTAATTTCTCTTCTCAATCTTTTGGCGATTGTTTTTCTTTGGTATGCTCATATTTGATCTAATTCCTCGTATTGCATATAACTGTTTTGTAATACTCTCGCTCGTGTTGTCTTTTGGCTCTAGGCGTATACTATTGTTAATTGTTGGAACTACAACTATTTATCCCTCCTTTACAAAAGGATGCAGCGATCTGTGCGGCCGTTGCGGTCAGTGCAGTCAGCTGCAGTCAGCTACGGTCAGTGCGGCAGTCTGCAACAACCCTAACGGATAATATCACCGCAATTCCTTTCCAGACCTCCGAAAAAGACGATAATATTCAAAACGTAAGGTCAATAAAGACCCACCACAAAACCTGGTTGGCAGAAAAACAACACACGATGTGCAGAAGAGTTTTTCCTTGTGAACAAATCACATTATTTCAAAAATTTTTGGACACAAAAATGGCTAATAATTACTTTTTCCTGCGTTCATGCGCATTCATCTTTAGGCTGCGCTCCTCTCCCGCTCCCTTTCCTACTACCTTAATTTCACGCTAGACGTATCTTTTCGGCTTTTTGGTTTTTCAAGCGTACCGCTCAGCCGCCTCGTTGTGTTTCGCAAAACGAGACTTACGTTGCACGATGCTCTCAGGCAATATGTAACACTGTGAATAGCTTTTGGATCGCGAAGTCCTTCGGCGTGTCTGTGCTGTTTGATTTAAGAAGAAATGCCCCTACCCGCGTCTTATAGCGTGAAATTAGGGTATTTATAGAACTACCCTAATTTCACGCGTACAAGGCGCGGGGTGGTCCTAGCTTTCATCGAGCTGCTCAGCCGCCCGAACGTGTTTTAAAGGCAGCGTCCAGGCAGATCTGGACCTATGGCGCTTTTACGTGGAAAGTACTTTTGGGGCCCTAACTAAGGCACTGCCCAAGCGGCAGCTCAGGTAGTGCTTTAATGGCTGAGATATTCCCCTCAAAACTGGCCCCCGCGAACGTATTCGCATGGATTCATGGCAGTTTCGCGCCAGGATCCACGCTTTGCGCCATGAATCCATGCGAAACACGGTCGCGGGGTCCAGTTTCGAGGGGAATATCTCAGCCATTACAGCACTACTTGAGCTGCCGCTTGGGCAGTGCCTTAGTTAGGGCCCCAAAAGTACTTTCCACGTAAAAGCCCCATGGGTCCAGATCTGCCTGGACGCTGCCTTTAAGAAGCGATCCCTATGCCGCACGATTCGTCAGGCAAAACGCAGCACGGTATGGGGTTCCTTTGGTTGCGAAGTCCTTTGCCGTGTTCGGGCTGGTCGATGAAAGCTAGGACCACCCCGCGCCTTGTACGCGTGAAATTAGGGTACTACCTCCGCTACTATTCACTGGTGACACAATGGCCGTGGCACTCGATTTATACACTTTTCTCCTAACAAAGCGATCAGCATGAGTAGACCATGTTACATAGCCATTGGCACAAAAAAATTACAATGTGATGGACCAAAATTATCGATGAAGTGTCAGAGTTCAACTGTACAATACCTCCTACGCCATACAAGCTCGATCTTCAACAACTGATAAAAAGGAATATTCTTGGAGGTGTCAATAAAAATAAAAAAATGTAAATGTATAAACAATTAAAATGCACCTGGTAATCCATATCGTGATCAAAAGACATTAAGAATCACATGACAGTGAATTAAGAGATTCGGGATCATCAAAATAGTACCGAAAAACAACGAGATAACAATGAACAATTTCCACATATAGACATTGATTTACACAATTGCATAAAAACATATTGAAGGATTCTTCGATGGGATCAAGCACGTCAATGTGACCCATGCCCCTTTATATAATCCCTTCAAAGACCCAAGAAAAGAGCGTTTCAACATCTAAGGATTTCTACTAATATAACTCGAAAATATGCCACAGATATAAACTGGTTGGAACCAAGTTTTGTGGGGCACATAGCAGCACTGCAATTTGGAGCATGCATGCGCATTAGTTTGGCCAAAACCCTTATTTTGTTCCTATAATTTAAGAGCCATAAATGCAATTAGGCTGCTTAGGGCGATTCTCTCATTGCAGTTCTTTCATTTAATTGTAGAAAGATTTATGTTAACTTTCTAGACACAATGCACATGTAACTCTACTTTTTTTCGCAATTTCAATGGCAGCAGGGCAAATTTGGATTATGTACAATGTTACTATCATGAAAACTAACTTGAGCCATCCTTCCTCACATTAAACGTCTTCAAAGGCGGCCATGACGAGTGGGTCATCGAGAGTCTTATTTTTAGAGAGTTACATAGCTTTTGAGTTTCAAAGAGATATGGATACAAACTCTTGAAGAAATCTTGCAAAAGTTGAAAGTCTTTCTCCTAAAAACCCCAAACACGACTTGCGACGCGCCTCGAATGGTAAACACAGAAATATGAACCTAATTACTGCTGCAAGAGGAAGAAGTTACGTATAACTGCGCATATCTAGAATGTATCTGTACTGAATTAACCTTCATAATATTCAGATAAGGCTTATGCATTATTGATGCACACTCACTCTAGCGGAACTCGGAACACTAAGCGTGCAACTCACTTTAAAATTATCGCTCAAAATGATAAGGGGTCCTTGTTAATTAATTCCTACTTGAGTCCCTCCTCAATTTAATAGCCTGCTACTATAGCTACGGTCCCCTAACACTCCCACCCTTTCTTTCTAAGGTCGATGAAATGGTCACATTACATGCTCGATCCTGCTAGAGAATTCCTAAGAAAGAGATAATTACAGTTTTACGCATTTTAACGAACTTTTTGCAATGGGCCATGATTAACTAATCGCATGTTTGCCTCCTCAATGCTGCCAACCGGGTCTCTCTGTCTTCTGTAAAGAACATTTCAAAACTTTTTAACCACATCCAAAGAAAAAACTCACGAGTTGGCGATATAAATATTGTGTCCTCGCTTGGCGCAGCGATCGGCCACAATCAAAGGCACAGGCAAGCTTACGGTTGCCGTAATTATCTGGTGCAGATAACACAATCCATGCGTCATACCTTCGATCACATCAACAGGAATCTGAGAGTCATCGTACACTAAAGACTACTTGGGTGTTCTAGCAGTTCCTTAAAATTACAAAATTCTTAGATCAAAATTCCTTTTTGAAGGGAATGCACAGAAGATGTAGGCTGTACTTTAACCACCGACACTGCATAAATTCCGCCAAAGCATTCCGATTCCCGACTTGCAAAATGGGAGCAACTTAGATAATGGAAGCAAAGGCATACAACAAAATGTAGATATATGAGTCGAATTCGGACCCAGAAGAACAAACTATTCGAACAATGACAATGCGCGAAGTATGCGTATGATAGAGAACTTAATCTGGGAAGAAAGTGAGTTAACTGCGAGGTAGAAGAAGGTTGGGGAATTAATACAAAGCAGGTGTAATCCGCCTTATTGATAAGTAAGTAGTGTGTATATCGCGGCTCAATTCCACTGTACAACGATAGAGTTGCATTCCTTTGTAAATACTAGTGTTTCCGACCCCCACCCGCATTCATTATGGCATAAAAATTGTGCCCACAGATCTGCCGTTCACCTCTCTGCTGGAATACTGAACAGGTCATGCATAAGCATGGACTGCTTTATAAGAGTATCTCTGTTGCCCAAATGTAGTAGTTCATTTAATTCGTTCCTCCTTTTACTGGCAGTACACTAGATACTACTGCGACTATGCGTGCAGGTCATCTTACTACTTACTCAGAGTTCGGCACAGACCGAATGGAAGCAGGCTGGACTTTGTTTTTGGGACAAAAAGCAAAGGGGATACAGTTTCTGCGGTGTGCGAAGCCTCAAAAAAAATTGCTTACTGCATTACTGGCTGCATATGTGGATGAAAATTACACACACAGTGCAAGGCAATTCAATACACTTCCTGTAGTGGCAAAAGCGCACTCAGTAAAGCGCAAGCTTTAAGAACAGGTTGCTACACGATGGGCATGACCCATCGTGTCTTGCGGGAAGCGCGCGCATTTTGAAAGCAAAGCTAAAATTAATAACTGCTTGTTTGCAACGTGGAGACAAGCATATGACACCAAAAATTTGGACTGCATGCATAAGATACTATTAAAAGGAAAATTCATGTAAAAATCCGAAAAGTTATGTGAAGTAGTACTATTTCCAGAATTGGTCCGTTTCAACACGGGTACTAAATTATTTGAGATCGTTTGCAGCATATATTTTCGTAGGTTTATAAAAGCCTTGGATTTCTCTATCATGGACGAAGTCTCCCGGAATATGTACCTGAGCATGAAAACATTTTCATATCGTTACCTTCCTTTCTTTTGCTTCGCATATCCTTCCCCGCTCAAGCTACTGATCTCATGGCAGAATTTCTGAGGTAATACCTGTTTAGAATTCATTTGTGATAATCATTACAGAGTAATTTTCAGAGCAGACTTCTGCATTGCGCAAGCTCGAGGAGAATGGTAAACGGTGCGAGCCTCGAAGCAGAATGGATGCAATGGTTGAGGTAAAGAGAAGTCAGAAATAGATGAATTTTCGTACGCAAAGCACGTGCTCTCAATGCTAACCTAAAGGTGTCAAGACTGCTTGTAAGGGAAGGATCCCAAGTTGCTGCATAATGTGTTGGAGTTTACCTCAAGAGAGCATATTTGGCATTTAAGTGTACTAACAAGAGAAATGCGCAGTTCACAAAGACATGAATGTTTTTCAAAGAACAAATTCTTAAAGAGGCCCTATAACTTGCTATATTTGGACTTTCAAACGCTCATAACTTCTTTTAGAAAAGCTCTCAGCATTTGCGGAGATGGGTCAGCTCAGTGAAACGCATCTAACTAACGATATGCATTTTGTTCCCAATCGCCACTGCTTCTTGTTCTTCCCTAGTAAAGATCTCTCCTCTCGAAACGGATACATCGACAGCAACTCCCAACACACCGGCGACTATTGATCAAAATAATTCCTAACATATTTATTAGTACTCTTACCGCGGAAAAAGCATAGCTATTTTGCTGAGCGTTTGCCTTTACTTCAGTCAGGAAAGAAAAAAATGTACACGAATTTCAAATTGCGACTGTTAACCTACCTGAAAAGCAGAATGAGCATTTAAGTAGAACTCATTAATTACTGGTGATACTATCTTCGTATCAATAAAGGTTCCTGGCGGAATGTTTTGCTCGGAGGCTCGATTGCCACTGATTATCTGAATAATGTTTAAGTAGACTATTAATCAACATTTGTTCATGCAAAAGGCACACCGCTTTGTAGATACGTTCATTGTGGTCCTTTGATACGGTCAGAACAGTGATTAGAGGCTTATAGTTTGGCGAAAGCGACCTGATTCCGTTCTTGATGACTTGTATGTAAGTACTAGCGACCTTGAATGCAGATATGTATAAGAAAAGTCTTTGAGCCTCATGCATGTTTCTAGCGTTCTCATCTCCGCGATATCTAGAGGGTGGTTGGAACGTATTGGCGCACACAAAAAGGCAATACACTCCTTTCAAAATCAATTTAGATTGTGCCTGATATAACAGTAGAGCAAGTGCATGCCAAAACATTATTATAAAAAAGCAGAACTCGTCAATCCAATTTTTAGCAAATCAAGAACTATTGCCTCAGAACTTCCGAAACAAACACGCACTACTGCCGGAACTAAACCGATAAAAATTAATACGCAAAAATGCGCAAGCTAATTTAAACCTTATGATAAGTAGCTTTAAAATCTGTGCATTCTGCTAAATAGATATGACGAGATGAAATCGCGTCAAGTATGCTCAAGGCTTTACAAAATTATCTCACCATACTCCATCGCCCTTCGGATATTCCTGAGAAATAAAGTACCAGGTGGCGAGGAGCAATATTGGTAGCAGCTCGAAACCTTTTGAGAATATCGACTATCAGCTCGCCTAGATACGGGCCCATCATCTGCAAGGTCACTAACTCAAGTAGTGTATGATGTGGTTAAACTTACATCAGCTTGGCGGGGTTCGACTTAGATGTAATCGCCAAAATACTGCCTGCGAGTTACTTGCACAATTCGCTTCCCATCCCAGCACCGAAGGCATCTAGATACGCAGAGATGACAAAAAAAAACTATGCAAGATATAAAACTGCCAAGAAAAGCTGTTTTATATGCATATGCATAATCTTCTCAATGAACAACTACTGCGTGATAAACCCAAGTTTCTTGAGCGAAAAATAGAAAATTATTGTATGGCAAAGAAATCTATAAATTGCAGTGTAGGATGTTAGACGGATTGAACTCGCTAATGCTCGCGTGCACTTTATGGCTCCGGAAATCTTCTTAAGCAAGGTATTTTGATTGTAGTTCAGCAATAAGTGTTTACTCAACAGCTTCTCAATCGCCGGGAGCAGGCGGCCATGCGATATGTGGGCGGGCAGGCACCGAAAAAATAGTTCGCTGATTTTTGCGATCCGCTTGCAGATATTTGAAAAATTTTGGAGGAATTTTAGACAAATGTTTAGAGAACAATTGCGGCTTTTTCACAGATTAGTTGCGGCACAGTGGCAGCATTCTCGCGGACTTTCCGCGAGAATATGCAAATTTATTGGACTCCTTTGTGAAGGACCGCATAGCCCGTAGATACCTTCCGCTGAGAGAAAGTACCCCAAACTCGGATAATTGAACCATCGATGACACCTCTTTTATGTAGTGTTACCTTTGCTCGACGTACGCCCGGAACTGCTTAAAAAGAGTCCGAGCACCTGCTAAAAGTTTGGCCCGCACTCGCTGAATGAGAATGTTTAACGAACGCATGCAGAAAGTTTTGTATTGCTGCCCCTGGGGCAAGGCGCACCGTAAAGTAATAGACGTAAGTAGTGATGAAGTCCTTGACCCTGATTAGAGCCATGCTTAAACAAGCTTCGCCTTGTGCGCCAGCGCTATCCTGCTAGAAGCACCGATATCTCTTAGCGAGATGAGTATCGGTTCAGCAAATCCTTCATCAAAATCCTATTCAAGTGTGTAACAACGTGCACTTGGAGGTTGGCTTAGAGCTCCATGGCACAAAAATCAGCGGTTTTGCCGATTTGACGGAAAAATACCTGCTCAGCGGTGGAAAGTATCCTGCTGAAAAAGATTGCGGTTTGGTGGCGATCCTTGGAGACATTCTAGCAGTCGGGCTGTGCAGTCGGTTTAGCTTCAGGTCGTCCCTTCAGGAATAAGCTTACTGCTTACTTTGAAGCTTCACACAAGGCCTGTTTTACTTTCAAAGGCCTGCGAGTGATGGATGCTTCTAAGGTTAGCTCAGTCAATCCTGAGAATTCTAACGGATGATTTCGAACAACCTCCTAATTTTTGGAGTGTTCGCAGTAGCCGCTTTGTCACTTCTACGACAGTCCTTCGTACAATGGAGACGACACTCAAGGTGAATTAAACCGTGTTCCGTGACATTTTGAGACTCCCGCGACCTAGTGTTAACCTTTCTCCGTGCATATCCACGATTGACGCTCGCTTCGCTTGAGACAGGGCCCGGCACCGATGGTTTGGGGTCAAACTGGACTTCGTTTCTGGAGTTAGAAGCAACGGGGACATCGTTTTTATGAGATCCTGGAGGAAGCGCCAAAAAAACACGACGAACATGTCAGGTTTCACGAGTTGAACGTGTTCTTTCGCAAGCGCGCGAATTTCAAATGCAAGACTCAAGCAAACAAATGGCTTGTTTACAGCGCACAAACAATCACATGGCTCCGAATTTGGGCTATGAGTATACAATATTAATCCAAACTATGTTATGTAAAAAGTTCTCAAAACTTATGTGTCCTAATATCCGTTCTCGAATTTGTTGGTTTCTAGACCAACTACCAAACCAACTGGGTTGGTTCGGAACACAAATATCGGAGAGTTCACATAAGTTTTGGACCTTTTTGATTTGGACGATTAGAACGGCCAAAAATCTATCATATAGTGAAGAGAGCGGATCAAACCGTTGCCTCTCCCCTTTTTTGAGTCAAAAGTAGTAGAATTCTACGCGTTGGTAGATATCGCGCTCCAATCACTTGCGGTGTCCTTTGAAATATGTGGCGAAAAATGCATCGCAGGTTTGTTGGGGCTACAGATTTGGTTGGCCTAGGAGATTCTCGACATTCCCAGCATCAAAATGGTACTATACCCAATGGCAGAGCCTTTAATCGACTCGAAATGTTTTCTTTTTGCTTTTTTGTTATATTACATATCTCAAAATGCGCTTTTTTCGCTTTTTTGTTGCTGTTTTGGTTGAATAAGGGTTTCCCTACTGATTTTCACGTCGAGAGGGATTTCGTAAATTTTCGCGAAGTCACGGGGGACTTCGTTTCTAAAAACCTCCAAACCAACGCGTGCCGGGCCCTGGCTTGAGAGCACATACTTACCGTACGTTTCTTTTTCTGGTTGTGTGTGAAATTCACGTGTGAATTCTGACCTTTTATCTTTCCTCGATTTCATTTGAACTCTAAATACACCCATTCTACTCTATGAATACCGCCAGCGCGTAATGGTGCGAATCCACCAAAACTTACTTTCAGAGCACTTGTACGTTCGTACTCGAACCTTGATACAGCTGGTGGATTTGATATTTCAAATCCCACGAACATTCTGTCTTTATCGCCAAGCCATTTGCTAGCGTTGAAACAAGAGCATTTCGAATTATCAAATAAAAAATCAAACTAACGCGTCTTTTGGTTTCGAGCCAAGCATGATATTGTAATTTACGCCACCGAACATTGACCTGAAATTAGTAACTCTAGACGGAAAATCGGGTTTGAAGTTCTCACCTTAGACACAACGTTGTCCAATGTCTGCGTTTGGCTCTTTGTGAGAACAGCATCAACTTTGCTACCTTTGATTTCCTGTGAAACGATCTGATGTTCGATTTCGAGCAGCTTTATGAGATCTGAATGTGCAAATTAATTCTCCAAAAAAAATGAGAAGCAGATGAGATGCATTACACCTCATTTCTAAGACCAACCATGTTGCTTGATGTTATCAGAGGTGATGAACATCAAATAACGGCGGTTCTTCTGCTTTTGAGAGATACCATTCCTAAAAATTCATAAGTGTTTTTTTTTACTTTTTTTACTTTGGCTTTATAAAATTTTGGCGGAGTCAAAGTGAATGCAACGTAAATTCTACAACTTTTCAGAAAGCGATAGTGACAGCATTAACAAAACGGGGTGAATGACGATTTACCATCAAAGTCTCGTAGTTCTGAGGTTCCAGCGCGTAGATTTCAGAGCATGGTTCTGTCTCCATCCCATGTAAACGGCATCGTTCCTCGATGCGCTCTGCATAGTCTCTATAAAAAAAAGATTCAGCTTTACAAGGAGACGGCACACAATACCAACTTGATATACAAACGGCGCCTATCTCCGTGGTCAAAGTGCAGCAAATAGCCCAATTGAGCAGTTTAGCAGGTTCAACATATCGGTATCGGTCGCTACTCCAATTGCAGTGAACAAGAATCAACCTACCTCATATGTTGGCATAACAAAAATAAAACGCATACGTTGTCGACGGGTTTCAAATATTTATTGTTTCTGTAGATGATAGTGGCGACGGCAACACTCGACCAGGTACCTGCAGTAAGAACCGCCATCAAAATCAACATATTCTTAGGCCTCCGGCATAGTTCACGCGATTTCTCGCCCCGCGATTCTCCCAACAAGATAACTGTCATAAGTCTATGTCATTCCTCCTGCGCCTAGGTTGTGATAGCTTTCCGACCCTACATCGTGACTAACTATCACAATCGAGATGCAAGGTGATCGACATGCAATGGAGTTGTAACAGTTGTCTTGTCGAACGAGAATGCGAGGCGACGAAATGGCGTGAACTATGTCCAAAGCCTCAGACTCTGGGCATATTTAACGCGTTTTCGGTCGCCACTTGATTTGGCAATTTACCAGCTTTAAGCCCAATGCTGGCAGACAAACGCTCAGTGTGTATAATTTTCATAGACTAAAAAAACGCCCTATTCTGTACGTTTATAATGCGCTTACAAGTTATGAACAACTGGAGATGAATGTTGCGCAGAGTTTTCGTAAGTGAAAATGTCTCAAGTGGACACCTCCACTGCTGGTGTGGGTAAAATTTGTTTTTAAGAATGGAGATCATACACCGCATGTCATTCTCATCATACACCGCATGTCATTCTCAAAGCTCTATTGCTAATACGTCACCCAACGGTGTTTGTTCGACAACTGACTCCAAATCCTGGCTAGTTGTTGTGCACGACTTCTTTCACGTTTTTTCTGCCTTGTAACTGCCAGACGATCAAACCAAGTGATCAACATAGATTGTGAGATTGATAGCATCACAGAAACCTGAGCACAATCGGTCAATCAGTGTCGACGATGTCTCGGCGATGAATTTCTTCACGCTTGTTTGCTGCGAAAAACATGTATTTTCTCCAATATATGTATCAGTTCTTTTTTTCGTAAATTGCAGTTAATTCTCTATGATAATAGCTAAACTGAAATTTACAAACGTTGATGTGCATCTTCAATTCTGTCCTCACCAAACACTGTTGTCTCTTCACCACTTCAAAAACCCACCTATGCGGTATATCTGTTTATTTGAGATTTCTCAACCATGCCTCAGTCAAATGCGGTTTCTTTGGGAGTTTCCGTTCCTGAAGATCAAGATTTTTTGAATAATTTTCGAACGTTCGGAATTACCTTTTGTAACCATCATAACAAAATATATGGATAATTCGAAAGGCCGGAGAAAATCCGGTGGTCAACCTTGCTGAGCAGAAATCATTTTTGCATGACGATTTAGTGCACCAAGTTGGAAAACCTATATCATTCGAGATTCCAAAAGTGAAGCAACAAAATACGAACTGAATTTGGATGACTGTAGCACTATAGCTGGACTATAGATGTATGATCAAACTCAAGCGATGTGGACTGCACAGAAATTGGCTTTCGCGCACGAGATCACAAAAATTCGCAGACTGTAGGTCATAGGTCTCGGTCATTACCTTTATTACAGTTCCGCATATAGCCAAAGCTTACATATCCAACAGTAGCGGTCCCAGAATTTCCATCGAAAGGGGAGGGGGAAGGGGAATCATGTGATGCTTTCTAAAATTTTTGCGGACTTATGACCTCGAAAATTTCATCTGGATTTCTGAAAGATTACAAGCTGATTCTTATCGTTTACAAGTGTATATAGGTTAATTGCACATTTTCATAACCCACGTAAGTAAACTTTGATTTTGGGACCTATTTTTTGCTGAACCCTCAAACTCCCTTCCCCCCCCCCTCCTACCATGTCCGTCACTGGAATGCAATCATCGAGTCACTTGCACTACAGGCTCACTAGAGGTTAAAAACGAAACTTGGAATTATACCTTTCATTATTCAATAACGAGAGATCCAATAATCGATATGTGAGAGTGCAGGTTCCAAACTACCCCTCCCCACATAGAAATCATGGCACCTGAAAGCGTCAAGTTGAAAAAGTTTCGTATCTTCATGTCAAAGCCAAATTATATACTAGAACACGAGGTGTTCCAAAAACATATGCGCATTGTTTGATCGCTAATAACTTGCTCTTGCTTCAATGTTTTTTTGCCAATCTTTTGGTACAATTCTGTAGAGAGGCTTCAACTCAGACTTACAGTATGGAGCGATTTTCCGATCTCTCTTCACTGCTGTAGGATTATAGTAAAAACTTCGACTGGGTTCTAAGCCACTGGGGGCCATATTTTGCCGCAGAAATAAAACCAAATCCAAAGACTTTTGTACTAGGCTAATCAAAGTCTTTGATTTAAAATGCGACTTTGCACTTTACTGTGATGCTTCTTTCCTAAGTTATCCCAAGTAAACCATAACGATGTTTTCCCGACATTGTCAGAAATGTGATTACAACGTCAAAAAAGCAGAAAACACTCGCATACTCTCGCACTTTCACTGCAATGAAATCAGCATGCGTGAAAATCTTAGTGCACGATTTTGTAGACTTTATGGAAGAATAGTGCCAGACTTTCGGTCTATCATCATAACTTATAATAACGGGCTAAGGATGTTTACGTGACTTTGTGTGTCTGTGTGTAAGTTTGTCTGTCTGTCACGAAATTCGTAGAACGTGTTCCAGCCAACCTCCTGAGCCCAAATTTTGCACAGCGTCTGCTACCAACATGAGAGTCTACTATACAAAAGCATGAGCGGATCCGTTCAGCGGATCCTTCGAAAATCAAACGTCAAACGGATCCACTTTTCTTTTCAGCCTGAAAAGTAGGTCAGTACGCAAACTTTTTGTAAAGTTATGAATATGTTCAGCATATAAATCCGCAAAACTTTCCCCGGCAACTCAAAAAACTACGAAAAGTTTAATCACAAGCGGAAACGGCGCCAAAACGTGGCAGTTGCTCACTTTTTCGATTTCCAGAGGTTCTACTAAGCGAAATTGAAAGTTTTTTGCTCAGAAACGTAGCTCGCGTTATCAGTTTTTATAACGGCAACTATGAGTACTCAAAAGTTTAGTATTTATTCTAAAAACGTATTCTTTTTCCATCCGACAGAACCCTTTCATGTAAAATTACCGGTTACTTGAGAAAGTGCATTTGAAATGAAAAGCTTTCCTCATTTCATTCGTGATGCTCGGGGAGTTTCATTGCTAGCTTAACACAGGAGGAAGGCAGGACTTCCAAAGCGCTGGCCACACGTGTCAGACCTTTGGACAAGCGGAAGCAGCTTGAGTTTACAACGCATTAGTTAGTCTGAAAGACACCAGCGTTTACAAGCACATGCATGGCTCCGCATAATTAATGGGATTGTGAGTAACATTCAACTTTGATTGAGTTATGTTTGAGCTGGACACTGCGTCTGTTGTTCTTACACAGCCCATACTACACTGAAAAGTAATTGAATATTCTAGAGAGTATTAGTGAACGTTTTGGCCGGACGTATAAAATTAACCTTTTTTGAAAGGGCTGACGAACAACAGTGTGTGTTTGGAACTATTTGCATCATGTACATACAAGGTGCATGTACAGGGCTTTTCAACCTGAGTGTCACAGCCGCCCCGCTCGGCCGCCACGCTTAGGTCCGCGCAGCGTTCGTGGCGCATCGTCCGGGCATTTTGCCGTTCTCAATCGATGCCGCCGACGCATGCACCAGCCTTCGCGTAGACTGTAGCTTGGCAAAATGCCCGGGCGATGCGCCGCAAACGCCGCGCGCGGCCTGAGCGAGGCGGCCGCGTTTTAGGAGCCGCGTAAGCGGAGGCTGTGACTCTTATGTTGAAAAGCCCTGTATAGGGTGCTGCACGACGAAGGAGCAATACCTTTGGGAGCGGCGAACGCGGCTTCATTAGCAGCAGAGCGCATGATGCGCAGGTTTCACAAAGTTGAAGATACGCGCTTTCGAGCTTGCTCAACCAATAATGTTTCTGCGCCTTCATCATGCAGAAGCCTTCAAGCTTGCTTGAAACTAGAAATGTGATACTGTCGTGAGTGCAATGCATTGTCTCATTCCGATCGAATTAGTCGAAGCGGTAGGTTTCGTGCATTTGCTCTACGCACAGTCATTCACAATCCGGTGTGGCCAAAGCATCTTACCATGAAACCGTGCCTCTCATTTGATTAAAGTTTGAGGATTTAAGGAAAAGAACGAGGAGAAGCGCTTAGTCATCACAGGATGCATTTACCTCCGTAAACGCAACGAATGTTGCAACGCGAGAGCGCACCCACGACGGATTGAAAATGTACTGTAGATTATTCCACTCATGCAGGGTTTATCTGAGACATTTTGTTTTTGGATGACCATACTTTGCAGGTTTTACCGGTTTAGCTCTATTGCCGTGTTGTTGAGCGTCACAATCAGTATCTGTGAAGTTCTCTTAAGTCATTGTAAATTTAGCACTAATAGCGGTAACAACTAGCGGCTAGCAACAGCAGCCGTTATAATAGTGCACCGGTAGCGCCTGTAAAGCTGAGACAATGGGAGCATTGAAACCCCTTGAGATTGTAGTACCACAAGCTGAAATATAGCCAATTCGTTTGTTTTTGGTAACTTCATCAGAGATAAGAGTGCACAAAAGAGTTGCTAGGGACGCAAGCTGTATTGTAGATTGGTCAATGAGGTCAATCAGCTGTGAGTAAGTCTAGCTATTACAAGTCACCATGCGAGAAAATTCCTTTTGTTTTTTAGATGAAAGTTCTAAGCACAATACGTGTCAATAATCGCTTTCCTTTTGCTGGGCGCATTCGCATCTCAAAGGGGTCAGATATTTTAGGCGTTTGGCAGGCATTTTTGGTTAATAACACATGAAGAATGGTTACTTGAGTAGTTATAAGAATAGTGCCAAAAAATGTGGTAAAAAGCCTAACTCATTTTCACAAATGCAGAGTTAAAGTATAGGTGCTGTTAGCCTTTTTTCTATTGTCTTCTCACTAGGTATATCGACAGGGTAGCCATCGTTTTGTCAAATGTCATGACTTATAATAACGGGCTAAGGATGTTTACGTGACTTTGTGTGTGTGTGTTTGTGTGTCTGTTACGAAATTCGTGGAGCGTGTTCCAGCCAGCGTTAAGCCCAAATTTTGTATAGCGCATGCTACCTTCGTGAAAGTCCAACATGCAAAAGCACGAGTAGATTCGTTGA